GCGCATTGATCGAGTCCAGCCCATATTTAGATGTGTCCGTCTCTCAATGACTCGCCAGCACTCCAGTCTTTATTTAATCCTTTATCTGCACTTATACACATGCTGACCGCACTGATTTTAAGAGTATAAAATGGTGAATGTAGTTAAAGCCTCTTTGGGAGTTGTCTTGACTTGTTATCAGCATTTGGTGTGTTTGTAAAGTTTGAGTAAAGCCTGATAAAGGGAAAGAAGAATAAAATGTGTAGTTGTTTAGAGTTGCACGATTGAGCAGAAATTGAGAATCACAATTTTTTTGTTTAAAATATCAAAATGTATCATGATTCTCCCATTCTGAACGGACAACTAAACAAAATAAAATGTACTTTACTAGAGGTTCTGAGTCTGACAAAATGTTAATTGCTTAATATGAATATTAAAAAAAAATCAGTTTGAGTGAATGATTCAACGACTCACTCATAAAGACTTCACTTGTTTCATTACTGGATGAATCGCGTTTTTTAACGAATCTCTCGAGTGAATGATTCAATGACAAACACATATTTTAAGTCTCTTGTCTCCCCCTACTGGAGTAACGGTGTAATACAATCTTTATGTGAAGCATCAAGTTACTTTCAAAAGCTGATTTACTCTATTTTGATCTCTACTGTAGACATCAGTGTTTATATCTGTACTATAATCTTTCCTCCAGCACTTCTGTGATAATCTGAGTGATTGTAAGACAGAAATAATGATGCTGTGATGTTGGAAAGACTGTTAGTGAAGCGGTTCATATCTATTCATGACGCCGGCCCTCTCTGGATCAGAACTCAGATCTGAATGTTTAACGATTTAACGCATTTAACGTTTCGATTCACAAGCTTGATTTGATTAAATTCTGCTTTTGGTTCAATTAGATTTGATGTGGATAATTTGGATGCATGTCTATTTCAGGAAAATCTCCTCACTTCTGCTGTAAACTACAGGAACCCTGTCAGCTGCTACATCACTGTAATATTAATTTGTAAAGAAACATTTACATTAGCTTTAACTTTTAAATGACATAGCCTAATTATGCTTCTACTCCAATTCATTGTTGAAATATAAACATTTAAACTCTGGTTGTCATAACTTCTTTTGATGGCAGATTTATTCAAATAAATGACATTTTGCTACATTAAACAAGTTAAGTAAAAATATGAATATTTACTATAATGCATGTATTTAGCAATATGCTCCTCTCTATAGTTCTTTTTTTTTTCTGGCTGACTATTGAGTTTTTGTTCTCTCAATGTCTTTTCTGAGGGAAATGTGACGTTGCGTGACATTAGTGTTGTTTTATTGACGGCTGAAACACGGATTGATGGATTATATGAGACATGACTGATATCAGGAAGCTGTTCTGTATCTTTCATCATTCCTTCTGATGTTCATTGATGTTTATTTGCTGCTGTAACTAGTAGTGAAGAGGAAGAGATGAACGGTTCTTCTGACACACACACACACACACACACACACACACACACACACACACACACACACACACATTTGTGGACTGAATTCAGTGACAGAACCTGAATGTTTGGGAAGTTCACGCATCAACTAAACACATGTGAACTTGCATCACATCTCCTATCTGTGTCTTCCTGATGTCCTCGTACGGATACAGATGAACATAACTTACATGATGAGAAAGATTGGAAATAACCTTATACAGACCGGGTTTAGCACGTGCTTTAATCACTCCTGTCCCAATCTAACGCCTGTAAAACGTTCTAAACTATGTATTTTTCTATTTATCTTTTGTTTTAAATTGAATGTATTTATGCAACTCTTTGTGTAACTTGAAGGATGTGCAAGTCTGCTCTTGCCATGAACATGTTCTCAAGTGCATTAATCTCTGCTACGACCGTCAAACATGTGACCTGTAGTGTGCTTGTGAACGTGTGTGATAATCACATGTTTGAGGCGTTATTGTCAGCACTGATGCAGGAGAACAGCGAGAACTAGCCCTGACTAACACCGAGAACTAGCCCTGACTAACACCGAGAACTAGCCCTGACTTACACAGAGAACAAGCCCTGACTAACACCGAGAACTAGCCCTGACTAACACAGAGAACAAGCCCTGACTAACACAGAGAACAAGCCCTGACTAACACAGAGAACTAGCCCTGACTAACACAGAGAACAAGCCCTGACTAACACAGAGAACTAGCCCTGACTAACACAGAGAACTAGCCCTGACTAACACAGATAACTAGCCCTGACTAACACAAAGAACAAGCCCTGACTAACACAGAGAACAAGCCCTGACTAACACAGAGAACTAGCCCTGACTAACACAGATAACTAGCCCTGACTAACACAGAGAACAAGCCCTGACTAACACAGAGAACAAGCCCTGACTAACACAGAGAACTAGCCCTGACTAACACAGAGAACAAGCCCTGACTAACACAGAGAACTAGCCCTGACTAACACAGAGAACAAGCCCTGACTAACACAGAGAACTAGCCCTGACTAACACAGAGAACTAGCCCTGACTGACACAGAGAACTAGTCCTGACTGACACAGAGAACTAGCCCTGACTGACACAGAGAACTAGCCCTGACTGACACAGAGAACAAGCCCTGACTAACACAGATAACTAGCCCTGACTAACACAGATAACTAGCCCTGACTAACACAGAGAACTAGCCCTGACTAACACAGAGAACAAGCCCTGACTAACACAGAGAACTAGCCCTGACTAACACCGAGAACAAGCCCTGACTAACACAGAGAACTAGCCCTGACTAACACAGAGAACAAGCCCTGACTAACACAGAGAACTAGCCCTGACTAACACAGAGAACTAGCCCTGACTGACACAGAGAACTAGTCCTGACTGACACAGAGAACTAGCCCTGACTGACACAGAGAACTAGCCCTGACTAACACCGAGAACTAGCCCTGACTGACACCGAGAACTAGTCCTGACTAACACAGAGAACTAGCCCTGACTAACACAGAGAACTAGCCCTGACTGACACAGAGAACTAGCCCTGACTAACACAGAGAACTAGTCCTGACTGACACAGAGAACTAGCCCTGACTAACACAGAGAACTAGCCCTGACTGACACAGAGAACTAGCCCTGACTGACACAGAGAACTAGCCCTGACTGACACAGAGAACTAGCCCTGACTGACACAGAGAACTAGCCCTGACTGACACAGAGAACTAGCCCTGACTGACACAGAGAACTAGTCCTGACTGACACAGAGAACTAGCCCTGACTGACACCGAGAACTAGCCCTGACTTACACCGAGAACTAGCCCTGACTGACACAGAGAACTAGCCCTGACTAACACAGAGAACAAGCCCTGACTAACACAGAGAACTAGTCCTGACTGACACAGAGAACTAGTCCTGACTGACACAGAGAACAAGTCCTGACTAACACAGAGAACTAGTCCTGACTAACACAGAGAACTAGCCCTGACTAACACAGAGAACTAGCCTTGACTAACACAGAGATCTGCTGCATGTAGAGACTCAAACACTCCCTGAAACACTGCATTATTCATGAGTTCTGCTGGAGCTGGAACAACCACACAAACACACACACAGAAAAACCTCTCACAGGCTCTCACTGACTCACACACACACGGAAAAACCTCTCACAGGCTCTCACTGACTCACACACACACACACACACGGAAAAACCTCTCACAGGCTCTCACTGACTCACACACACACACACACACAGAAAAACCTCTCACAGGCTCTCACTGACTCACACACACACAGAAAAACCTCTCACAGGCTCTCACTGACTCACACACACACACACACACACACACGGAAAAACCTCTCACAGGCTCTCACTGACACACACACACACACACACACACACACGAAAAACCTCAGTCACTCACTCACTGACTGACTCACTCTCACTCACATACACACATACTCACTAACACTCTCTCACACTCACATAAACACATGGAAAAACCTCTCACACTCAGACTCTCTCTCACACACACACACACGGAAAAACCTCACACAGTCTCTCATTCACACACACACACACTAACACTCCCTCACACACACCACACACACACACACACACACACACACACTGAAAAACCTCTCTCTCACACACACACACACACACACACACACACACACACACACACACACACACACACACACACACACACACACACACACACACACACACACTCAAACTCTCTCTTCAACACGACACACTCAGACACACACATATAGTTTCTTGAACACATTAGACCCTAAAGACGACATCTTCACACGTTCAGCTTCATGTGGTTCAGAGTCGCACAGAACAACATCTGACTTCCTTAACGTGTGTGTGTCGGTGTACAGTGGACTTGATGTTCTCCACGAGGAATCGACTGGGTTGTGAAAGTGTCTCTATATGATTAAATGTGCGCTTAATGTGTGTGTAACGAGACAGCAGAGGAAGATCCCACTTATTGAAGAAAAGAGACACTGGATACATGATGATATCACGAGAGTTTATGAGTTCAGTGATGGAGCTCCGGCCTCTCGATCTCGGTTTCACTGCAGGATCACTGAGTGAGTGAGTTTAGTGTGATTTAATATCACGCTTATGATGGAGGATGAGCTATTTCTTCGGTTTGATGTTTTATGTTTATATATCTATGTGTCTCTCATTCCACTTCTAGGTTCAGTGTGTTCTGTACAGAACTATACGGTTCTAGACTCAATTTTAAAGAACCATTACAGCAAAAAGCTTCTATATAAGGGTAAAACGTCTTAAAATAGTGCATAATATGTCCATGTTTAACTAGTTATTTTCAATTTTCTAGTGATAAAGTTTGTTTACATGCAGTTTAATTTATAAAATTTGATCAAAATAAAAAATTATGTAAAACTAAATCCATAAAATGTTTCCATGACCCTTGAAGCTTCTGTATAGAACCTTTCCTCCTGAGAGTGACCATGTGTGTGTGTGTGTGTGTGTGTGTTTCAGGACCGCAAGCTGTCGAAGGCGGAGCGGCAGCGCTTTAAAGAAGAGGCGGAGATGTTGAAGGGTCTCCAGCACCCGAATATCGTGCGTTTCTATGACTTCTGGGAGTCTCCGCTGAAGGGCAAGAAGTGCATCGTTCTGGTCACAGAGCTCATGACGTCAGGAACGCTCAAAACGTGAGGAGCGTTACACACGACACCGAGTCACTTCGGGAATCAAGTGTGCTAGTGTTTTTTGTTCTTATATTTGATTCATATATATATATATATATATATATATATATATATATTTTTTTTTTTTTCATACAGTGATAGTTTTTATTGAACAGACCTGTCAATCTCCAAAACACACATGAAAGCGCCCTCGAGTCTTCCAACATTTGGGTTCTGGAAGTAAAAACTTGATTTTAAACAATAACTTACAGGCGTTTAAAGACACCTTCTGTGAGTTACGAGCTTGTATTTGCTTTTGTTGTATGTGTTTAACAGTGGTATTTGTGGTGAAAACTACATTACCCATAATGCTTTACAGAAAAATCCACCAATCAAAGAGTCACCACAAGCAAAACACACCAAAATATCTTGTTAGCTCCGCCCACTCCCATGAAGCACCGCAGATGACGTGATCAAGTTGGTCACCATAATCTCTCAAAGAATATCCTGCAAAAAATCAGTTTATATATATATATATATAATCAACTAGTTTTATAGGCTATTTCTCCATAATTGTTTATTGGATTATGCTGTTTACAATGCTTCATGGGATTGTTGGTCTTTCTCTCGTCTGTAGTGCTGTGATTCTCCTCATCGCTGGCTGGTTCGGTTCATGGCTTATAATGCTATAACTAAGACTTTAAAAAAAAATCCCTATGGTAGAAATTAATGGAAAAAATACTTCCGGAACCAACGCCGCTGATGAAGCTGTATTGCAAAACACTTGTTGTTTATATTATAATAATATTACACAAGAAGTGCTGCTGTATCAAAGGATTCATTTAAATGTTATTACATAAAACTTAATATAAAGTGGTTTCATAGTCCATATGACTATATTTTAAAGGGGTGGTTGATTATGATTTCACTTTTCTGACTGTAGTGAGTGTGTAATGTTGCCGTTTAAGGATAAACAACATCTGCAAAGTTACGACGCTCAGAGTTCAAAGCAAAGGGAGAGATTTACTTTTAAAGAAATAGTTTTTTAAGGACTACAACAAACGGCTGGTAGAACTACACAAGCTTCCTCCCGGGTTAGTGACATCACCAACCTGAAATTTACATAAACCCCGCCCCCGAGAACGCGATTTATAGATTATCATGACAGAATATGCTAATCAATTACTTGAAGATAGTTAACTCCACATCAGCAACATACATTAATCAACCAACCATTCAGAAATGTCCTGTTGCTCTACATGTCGTCACTTCTTCTTGAGTCTCTCCATCTTTGTCCAACTTTAAACATAAAAAGCTAAAAGTTTTTGAAATTTTCAGTGCATGTGTGTGTGAGGTAAAATAACACAATCTCTTGTAGCTCCGCCCCCTGTGCCGGGAGCAGCAGCTCATTTGCATTTAAAGGGACACACACAAAAACGGTGCTCACCCTCAAAATAAAATATCTGTTGGGTATTTTGAGCTCGAGCCATTCAGACTAAAGCTATGGAAGTTTTACGGGGCTTTTTATGATGCCCTTTTGTCTTATTTAGATCTTGCCAATGAAAGCAGCTTTACAGAAAAGGCTTGTTTTCAATGTAACGGTTAAATAAGTATTCTGTTCTCAGCCAGAGATGAGTGTGTCAAAGTGACGTCCATATGACAGAGTAATATGCAGATATAATGTGGTTAATGTCATGTATTCAGTTAAACGGACATGTTAAGCAGTGGTGTAATGATTATAATCCAAGTAATGCTGGTTTATCAGTTATAAATGCCACTCATTATGTTCTCCAGGTATCTGAAGCGCTTTAAGGTGATGAAACCCAAGGTTTTGCGCAGCTGGTGCCGTCAGATCCTCAAAGGTCTGCATTTCCTGCACACGCGCACTCCTCCCATCATCCACCGGGACCTGAAGTGTGACAACATCTTCATCACGGGCCCCACGGGCAGCGTCAAGATCGGCGATCTGGGTCTGGCCACGCTCAAAAGAGCCTCCTTCGCCAAGAGTGTGATCGGTGAGGCGGTGTCCGTCATATCCAGTGTTTTTATTAATTATTCGGGTTCATTTGATTTTGCTTTTAACACATTTTACCATGTTTACATGATCCCATGGGTCCTGAGTCTTAAATTCGGTTTGATCAAATTCAGTATTTACAATATCTTAAAGTCTCCCTGTAGTCAATAATTTTATCCCGTAAAACTCATCTTTGATCACCAAAATGACATATTAAAGTTTTTTTCCTTCATGTCTTAAAATATCTTGAATGTAACTCGACACCCTCGCCTCATTTAGTATGCGCATGAATATGCAAATGAGCCCCGCCTCCACTCACTCACTCAGCTCAGAGATCCACTGGTTGACGATCACACGTTGATCTGATTGGTTACAAGGTCGTTTGTGACGTCAGAAACACCAGCGATTTCAAACCGTGTTTTTGAGACTGTCTTTGGTTCACTGCAGTTTTAAGAAGAAAATACTCAGCAATGCTGTCGACTTATGAACTTACACATGGTGTGTCTTAAAGCGTATTAATAACACCACATAGACACATAAACAACATTAAATGCTGTATTTACACCACAGGGGGACTTTAAATGGTATAAGAAAAGTCTTAATGGTCATTTCAAGAGATCTTAAATTAGGGGACAGAAAAACAGGAATCGCTTTTCAAAGTCACTTTTTAGAGTAAAAACGTGGCGCTGTTGATTTTATTCAGTGCATGTCTGACGGGTCCACACTGTCTTCAGGAAAATTTCGATTGCATTTTCTTTTCATCTTCCCTCCTTATAATGCGCACTAAAGTACCTTTGTACAGGTGAAACTCGAAAAATTTGAATATTGTGCAGAAGTTAATTTATTTCAGTAATTCAGCTTAAAAGGTGAAACATATATATTATATAGACTCATTACATGCAAAGTGAGATATTTCAAGCCTTTATTTGTTATAATTTTGATGATTATGGCTTACAGATATGAAAACCTTTTCACAATATTCTAATTTTGAATTTGGGGTTTTCATAAGCTGTAAGCCATAATCATCAAAATTCATTTGTTTCTATTGAGTGCTGTTATAAGATGGTGTTTGTTTCTATTGAGTGCTGTTATAAGATGGTGTTTGTTTCTATTGAGTGCTATTATAAGACGGTGTTTGTTTCTATTGAGTGCTGTTATAAGATGGTGTTTGTTTCTATTGAGTGCTGTTATAAGATGGTGTTTGTTTCTATTGAGTGCTGTTATAAGATGGTGTTTGTTTCTATTGAGTGCTGTTATAAGATGGTGTTTGTTTCTATTGAGTGCTGTTATAAGATGGTGTTTGTTTCTATTGAGTGCTGTTATAAGATGGTGTTTGTTTCTATTGAGTGCTGTTATAAGGTGGTGTTTGTTTCTATTGAGTGCTGTTATAAAATGGTGTTTGTTTCTATTGAGTGCTGTTATAAGACGGTGTTTGTTTCTATTGAGTGCTGTTATAAGATGGTGTTTGTTTCTATTGAGTGCTATTATAAGACGGTGTTTGTTTCTATTGAGTGCTGTTATAAGATGGTGTTTGTTTCTATTGAGTGCTATTATAAGACGGTGTTTGTTTCTATTGAGTGCTGTTATAAAATGGTGTTTGTTTCTATTAGGTGCTATTATAAGATGGTGTTTGTTTCTATTGAGTGCTGTTATAAGACAGTGTTTGTTTCGATTGAGTGCTGTTATAAGATGGTGTTTGTTTCTATTGAGTGCTGTTATAAGACGGCGTTTGTTTCTATTTAGTGCTGTTATAAGATGGCGTTTGTTTCTATTGAGTGCTATTTTAAGACTGTGTTTGTTTCTATTGAGTGCTGTTATAAGATGGCGTTTGTTTCTATTGAGTGCTGTTATAAGACGGTGTTTGTTTCTATTGAGTGCTGTTATAAGACGGCGTTTGTTTCTATTGAGGGCTGTTATAAGATGGCGTTTGTTTCTATTGAGTGCTATTTTAAGACTGTCTTTGTTTATATTGAGTGCTGTTATAAGACGGCGTTTGTTTCTATTGAGTGCTGTTATAAGACGGTGTTTGTTTCTATTGAGTGCTGTTATAAGATGGTGTTTGTTTCTATTGAGTGCTGTTATAAGATGGCGTTTGTTTCTATTGAGTGCTGTTATAAGATGGTGTTTGTTTCTATTGAGTGCTGTTATAAGACGGCGTTTGTTTCTATTGAGTGATGTTATAAGATGGCGTTTGTTTCTATTGAGTGCTGTTATAAGATGGCGTTTGTTTCTATTGAGTGCTATTATAAGATGGCGTTTGTTTCTATTGAGTGCTATTTTAAGACTGTGTTTATTTCTATTGAGTGCTGTTATAAGATGGCGTTTGTTTCTATTGAGTGCTGTTATAAGATGGCGTTTGTTTCTATTGAGTGCTATTTTAAGACGGTGTTTATTTCTATTGAGTGCTGTTATAAGATGGCGTTTGTTTCTATTGAGTGCTGTTATAAGACGGTGTTTGTTTCTATTGAGTGCTGTTATAAGATGGTGTTTGTTTCTATTGAGTGCTGTTATAAGATGGCGTTTGTTTCTATTGAGTGCTGTTATAAGATGGTGTTTGTTTCTATTGAGTGCTGTTATAAGACAGCGTTTATTTCTATTGAGGGCTGTTATAAGATGGCGTTTGTTTCTATTGAGTGCTATTTTAAGACTGTGTTTGTTTCTATTGAGTGCTGTTATAAGACGGTGTTTGTTTCTATTGAGTGCTGTTATAAGATGGCGTTTGTTTCTATTGAGTGCTATTTTAAGAAAGGTGTTTGTTTCTATTAAGGTGCTGTTATAAGATGGTGTTTGTTTCTATTGAGTGCTGTTATAAGACGGTGTTTGTTTCTATTGAGTGCTGTTATAAGACGGTGTTTGTTTCTATTGAGTGCTGTTATAAGACGGTGTTAGTTTCTATTGAGTGCTGTTATAAGATGGTGTTTGTTTCTATTGAGTGCTGTTATAAGACGGCGTTTGTTTCTATTGAGTGCTGTTATAAGACGGTGTTTGTTTCTATTGAGTGCTGTTATAAGACGGTGTTTGTTTCTATTGAGTGCTGTTATAAGACGGTGTTAGTTTCTATTGAGTGCTGTTATAAGATGGTGTTTGTTTCTATTGAGTGCTGTTATAAGATGGCGTTTGTTTCTATTGAGGGCTGTTATGAGATGGCATTTGTTTCTATCGAGTGCTGTTATAAGATGGCGTTTGTTTCTATTGAGGGCTGTTATAAGATGGCGTTTGTTTCTATTGAGTGCTGTTATAAGACGGTGTTTGTTTCTATTGAGTGCTGTTATAAGATGGTGTTTGTTTCTATTGAGTGCTGTTATAAGATGGTGTTTGTTTCTATTGAGTGCTGTTATAAGATGGTGTTTGTTTCTATTGAGTGCTGTTATAAGACGGTGTTTGTTTCTATTGAGTGCTGTTATAAGACGGTGTTTGTTTCTATTGAGTGCTGTTATAAGATGGTGTTTGTTTCTATTGGGTGTTATTATAAGATGGCGTTTGTTTCTATTGAGTGCTGTTATAAGATGGTGTTTGTTTCTATTTAGTGCTATTATAAGATGGTGTTTGTTTCTATTGAGTGCTGTTATAAGATGGCGTTTGTTTCTATTTAGTGCTATTATAAGACGGTGTTTGTTTCTATTGAGTGCTGTTATAAGATGGCGTTTGTTTCTATTTAGTGCTGTTATAAGATGGCGTTTGTTTCTATTTAGTGCTATTATAAGATGGTGTTTGTTTCTATTGAGTGCTGTTATAAGATGGCGTTTGTTTCTATTGAGTGCTATTATAAGATGGCGTTTGTTTCTATTGAGTGCTGTTATAAGACGGTGTTTGTTTCTATTGAGTGCTGTTATAAGATGGCGTTTGTTTCTATTGAGTGCTGTTATAAGACGGTGTTTGTTTCTATTGAGTGCTGTTATAAGATGGTGTTTGTTTCTATTGAGTGCTGTTATAAGACGGTGTTTGTTTCTATTGAGTGCTGTTATAAGACGGTGTTTGTTTCTATTGAGTGTTTCTATTGGGTGCTATTATAAGATGGCGTTTGTTTCTATTGAGTGCTGTTATAAGATGGTGTTTGTTTCTATTTAGTGCTATTATAAGATGGTGTTTGTTTCTATTGAGTGCTGTTATAAGATGGCGTTTGTTTCTATTTAGTGCTATTATAAGACGGTGTTTGTTTCTATTGAGTGCTGTTATAAGATGGCGTTTGTTTCTATTTAGTGCTGTTATAAGATGGCGTTTGTTTCTATTTAGTGCTATTATAAGATGGTGTTTGTTTCTATTGAGTGCTGTTATAAGATGGCGTTTGTTTCTATTGAGTGCTATTATAAGATGGCGTTTGTTTCTATTGAGTGCTGTTATAAGACGGTGTTTGTTTCTATTGAGTGCTGTTATAAGATGGCGTTTGTTTCTATTGAGTGCTGTTATAAGACGGTGTTTGTTTCTATTGAGTGCTGTTATAAGATGGTGTTTGTTTCTATTGAGTGCTGTTATAAGACGGTGTTTGTTTCTATTGAGTGCTGTTATAAGACGGTGTTTGTTTCTATTGAGTGCTGTTATAAGATGGCGTTTGTTTTTATTGAGTGCTGTTATAAGATGGCGTTTGTTTCTATTGAGTGCTGTTATAAGACGGTGTTTGTTTCTATTGAGTGCTGTTATAAGACGGTGTTTGTTTCTATTGAGTGCTGTTATAAGACGGTGTTTGTTTCTATTGAGTGCTGTTATAAGACGGCGTTTGTTTCTATTGAGTGCTGTTATAAGACGGTGTTTGTTTCTATTGAGTGCTGTTATAAGACGGTGTTTGTTTCTATTGAGTGCTGTTATAAGACGGTGTTTGTTTCTATTGAGTGCTGTTATAAGATGGCGTTTGTTTCTATTGAGTGCTGTTATAAGATGGTGTTTGTTTCTATTGAGTGCTGTTATAAGATGGTGTTTGTTTCTATTGAGTGCTATTATAAGATGGCGTTTGTTTCTATTGAGTGCTGTTATAAGACGGTGTTTGTTTCTATTGAGTGCTGTTATAAGATGGCGTTTGTTTCTATTGAGTGCTGTTATAAGACGGTGTTTGTTTCTATTGAGTGCTGTTATAAGACGGTGTTTGTTTCTATTGAGTGCTGTTATAAGACGGCGTTTGTTTCTATTGAGTGCTGTTATAAGATGGCGTTTGCTTTGGCAGGTACGCCGGAGTTCATGGCCCCGGAGATGTACGAGGAGCATTACGACGAGGCCGTGGACGTCTATGCGTTCGGCATGTGCATGCTGGAGATGGCCACGTCTGAATACCCGTACTCCGAGTGCCAGAACGCCGCGCAGATCTACCGCAAAGTCACCAGTGTAAGTCACGCTGCACCTCAACACTAGAGCGGTCACTTCCTTTCACTGATGAAGAATACTGACCGTGATTGATATTAGTGTTTCTTATTATTAGTGATACTAGTGTTTCTACACAGACCCTGGTTACGATGTCCGTCTTGGTAGGCCTAAAAAATTACGCCCAAGAAACCCACCCCAAAAAATATAACAATTCATGACACTAAATGAGATTTTATGTTGTTTACTGGTAAAATTTGTTTAATTAAAAAACAAATGAATACAGTGCATTCTAAAATAAGTTGACAGATTTTTTTCCAGATGATTTTTGACCACGTTACAGTTCCATACGACTAGAATTTAAACGTTGCGTTAGAATAATATTCTTTGTGAAAAGTGATGCATCTGAAATGGTTTGAAATAGGAAGAAAAAAACTTCATATGAAATATATTTCCAGATAATATTTTCCTAAATTTGCTTTGGCATTATTACATAAGTTAATTATTTAGGACACAGGACATGATCCCTTGTGAGTTATTTGTTTGTTTTTGTATAATGGCGTTTTGTGGTGTTATCCACACATGCAAAGTTGGTTAATAACTGCAATAAAGTAAAAACCTAGCATTTATTATATTTTTGTCTTGTTTTCCAGTACAAATATCCAAACATTCTTAAATCATGATACATTTACTGGAGAAGCAAAATGACTTCAGAAATTAAGACTGAAAAACTGATAAAAATTAAGTTGGTTCATGGTTAAAACAAGAACAAATATCTGCGTATATGTATTTGTTTTTTACTTTTTGTTTTAATGACAATTAATAAGTAAAATAATACTTATAATACAAATAATAGTAAAATCTCAGTCATTTTCTCACCCTCATTCACTTTTATACCTGTCTGATGGTGTTTGTTTTTCTATTGAGCTCAAAATAATCTTTTTTTCATACAGCGATAATTCATAATGAAGAAAAAAATCCCACCAAAATATCAGAGTAAAAATAATTTGTGCACTATATTCTAAGTTGAACGATAGCTTTTTGTGACTAAAATTAAATCTTTATGCCCTGAAAACCAGTGAAGTGATAACCAGAGTAATCAGTGGAACCAGTTCAGCTCACGTCACTGGAGGAGATTATCAGCCAATAGCAGCATGAGTTTGGGTCTGTTCCTCACACACACGTGTGATTGTGTCCTACAGTAACGGCTCTTATGTGTGTCTCAGGGAGTGAAGCCTGCCAGCTATAACAAGGTGATGGACCCTGAGGTGAAGGAGATCATCGGCGAGTGTATCTGTCAGAAGAAGGAGGAGCGGTGAGTTACTGACGGCTTCTGGACTCACTGTACAATATAGAGAGTCGTTTAACCCTTGTGGACATTTTTGTCTTTTCAGTTTTGTTTTTTGATCATTTTGCCTGTGTTAATGCCAACTGCACACATTTTCACCCCCATTTCCTTTAAAACAAATCTATTTGGCATTAGGTACACAGAATAGCTCCTCTCAGCGCCTTTTGGACAAAAATGTCCCCATTGAAAGTTTGAAACCCATTAAAACTGCAATTTTTAATTGCAGGGCCATTTAACTATAAAATGTTGGAATCTTTATTAATAGGCTTTCATTCTGTTGGCAAGGCTTCAAACTTAAAAATTGTAAAAAAAAATGACCAGTGCCATTTTCTCAGGTTTGGCCAATAAAACAAATTCTACTGCATATTATAGAGCCAATTAGATAAATTATGCGGCTATAAGTGTGTGTGTGTGTGTGTGTGTGTGTGTGATTTTCTAGCAGTTTTGGAGTTTAATGTATTTTATAATATATATTTCATATAAAATAGTGTTCATAAATTATTTTCATAAACTTTTTTTGGTTTTACTTTTTTTTTTTTTTTTGTTAAACTCCCAAGCTTCAAATAATTATGACAGTTTTTTGACACGGACATTTGTGTCCTCTATGGACATGTGTGTAACTTGTTTTTAATTGATGCACAAGGGTTAACTCTCCTAGTCATCATTTTTTCTCTCATTTATTACAAGCAAACACAATTTTTTATTATTACATTCACACACAAACCACACTCTGACATCCATACCAACACACCCACACAATTATAGCCGCTTAATTTATCCAATTGGCTCTATAATATGCAGAAGCAGAGTTAAGCACAGTTTTCACTGTATCATGGTACATGTGCGTCCGGTAAGCGTCTCTGCAACTCTGTCCACAGCTACACCATCAAGGACCTGTTGAACCACGCGTTCTTCGCCGAGGACACGGGTGTGCGGGTGGAGCTGGCGGAGGAAGACGACGGGGTGAAGGTGTCCATCGCGCTGAAGCTGTGGGTGGAGGATCCTCGCAGGCTGAAGGGCAAGTACAGGGACGGAGGAGCCATCGAGTTCAGCTTCGACCTGGAGAAGGAGGTTCCTGAAGCCGTGGCGCAGGAGATGGTGTGTGTTTCACTGACTTCAGCAGCGTTACCCGCGGCTCGTCCGCTGGAAGATATCAGAGATCACTGCAGATGTGCATCATGCTAATGTGGGCGACCCAGATCTGAATACTGCTTCCTCATATTTTAATATAAATATGCATTTCTAAATAGAAATTCCTAATATAAATTTCATGATTCGATTCGAGTTTGATTCACCAGATTGCGATCCAATTCTGATCTTGATTCGGTTTGGATGTATATCAGGTACAGTACATGTCAATTTCTCTCAAAGGAAGAAATCTCTCCTAATGCTGCGTTTTGGGAGCCCTGTCAGTCGCTACATTACTGTAATATGACAGGTTAATATTAACGAATGATTTGCATACAAACATTTAATGACATGTTTGTACTCCAATACGTAACATAAACATTTATAAATGAACAGTGGCTGTCATAACCGGTTCTTCTATATTTAATGTACGTTTGAATAAACGCATTGTAAGTAAAAATATAATGATTTAATATAGTGCATATATATATTTATTTATATAGCACCTTTCAAGATCTCAAAGTCACTTTGCAAGAAATAAAGCAATCATACAGCAACACAATAATATAAAACAGCATTTCAACATCAAGACCAAAACTAAAGCAATAATAGGACAGAACCTTGTGACGTGACGTGACATTATTGTTGTTTTACTGACGGTTGAAACACGGATTGATGGATTAAATGAGACATGACTGATTTCAGGAAGTTGTTCTGCATCTTTCAACATTGATGTTTCTTTGCTGCTGTAACTAGTAGTGAAGAGGAAGAGATGAACGGTTCACCTGTCACACACATTAAACACACACAAACACACATTTATGGACTCAATTCAGTGACAGAATTTGAAACCTTTGTTTCATATCAAAAGTTTAGTTCTCGCATCAGCTGAAAACAGCACAGACTCAAAGATTGAAGAATCAATATCAGTTCATCAAAATGAGAATCGATATCTTCAACCCAACACTAACCTTCAGGTGTGTTTATTCTGAGCCAGAACTGTTCATTTAGAAAATAACCTTTTAACCAGATTTACCTGTATGTGAACGCCACAAAAATAGCCAATAAGTTTCATGGCTCATGAAATCTGATGTCTTCCCGTTTCTATTGTCTCTACTGATCTAGAGATATTTCACGCCTCAATTATGAAACAACAGAATTGAAATGGATTTTGAACGGAATAATGTTGTGGCCAGCTTTGGATTATTCCATTGGAGAGGTGGATGTTTATTCCCTTTACAAACCCCTCTCGTAACCTCCGCCTGCGATGCTGTTTTCCTGCTTAGACCTGATCTGGCCCTGAGTTTGAGATTCATAACATCGCCTTCTGAGGAGCTCTGAATCCCCTGCTCGAGTTACGACCAAACCTGTTTCAGATCTTCACACTAGATTCGCTCATGCTGAGCAGCCGAAGCCGCGTGTGCACGTTATATATTAAACCGTGGTCTTACGGATATGTGGCCTTCTGGACCCAGCTCGGGTTGGAAAATCCTTGTGCCGTAATCATTTATGTAATCTGGGCACTGTAATGTGTGTGTGAATGTTTGCTAAAGGGAGAATGAGTCGGCAGCTGATATTCTGATCGGTAAACCACAGTCCAAACGTCTCAGGCTTCACCCTGTCTGACGCTTGTTCACTACACAGATATTGATTTACACAAAACCCTTCATGCTTTAAGCGTACTTGGGCGAATCTCACAAAAAAACTAAATTACCAGTACTTTCTTTTTAATGAATGTTAAGTACATTTCCCCCCACAATTCTCTGTAGGGAGAAATTAAATGAGTAAATCATTCAGATTTAATTTAATTTATTAGAGACAGCGGAACAAAAGCAACCATGATCTCCCCCCCCCCCCCCCCCTCCCCCTGGTAATTCTCATTGCTGATTATGTATTTTTTTATTTAAAAAAAAAAACATTAACTTTTTAAAATATTATGTATTAAATATTATTAAATCTCATTATCAACTTATTTTTATTTAAATGTATTAGAGACCGTCTGCACAGCAAAAGCAGCCATGATTCCTTTTTTTCGTTTTTTAAAAGTAATTCTAGTACTTCATCATTTTTTTAACTGTGTATTAACGCAGCAATATTGTTTATGTAAATAAAAACCATGTAACTGTTAAAATAATATGTATTAAATGTTATGTTTCAACAATTTTTTTAGATTAATTTATTAATTTTAGACAGCACAACAAAAGCAGCCATGATTTGTTTTTTTCTTTGCATTCTTTTTTAAATTCTGGTAATTCTCATTGCTGATTATGTATTGCAATAATTAAATAATTAAATAAATAAAATGTAATTTTTTAAAATAATATAAATATATAATATATATTGAATATTTTTTCAACTTATTTTTTTATTTAAATTTATTTAGTAGAGACTGCACAACAGAAGTTTCCTTTTATTCTCTTTTTTTTAAACCAGTATTCTTGGTCTCATTAGTCATATTTTTCCTCAGTGTGTGCGCAGTGTCTAGTTGAAGCTTTCCCCCACAGACTCTTGCTTGTCTTTGTGAAATTTTCCCATAATTCTGTGAGATTTATTCCTTTGTTCCTAAAATAGAACCCTCATTTGTTCCTGTCTGCTCTAAAGAAGCGTGTTCACACCAGCCCCCTCTTGTGCTTCTGTCAGGTTGAGTCTGGTTTCTTCCATGAGAGCGATGCAAAGATTGTGGGCAAGTCTCTCCGTGACAGGGTGGCTCTGATCAAATGGCGCCGGGAGCGGACGGTGCCGAGGGCCTCTCAGGGTGGCACTGCCCCGTCCATGCCAGCCGGGACGGTACCAGTCCTCTGTGAACCACCCTGTCTGGTGGAGCCCGAAGAGACTGAAGTGGACCAGCATGCCCGCGTGTGCCAACTTAGTGCCATGACTACATCCACCACATGTAAGCGTGTGCGCCTGTGATCAAAACCTTTCATCAGTTATACATTAATTTTGAACGATACCCGTTCTTGTCTTAGGACAACTGTGATGAACTTTTTCGATCCACTTCAAATGTTGACTACTGTAGCTGCTGACTTTATGCTGACTTTAACATGAAACTGTTGTCACAGAATCTCTTACAACAATATCCAATCTGAGGGAACTGATGGACAAGTGGTATTGATGTGTTGTTTAGTCCATGTTTGTCTCTCTGTCTCCCTCTAGCTGACAGTGGCATCGGTTCAACCGTGTACTCTGACTCGCACAGCAGTGGTCTGCACAGTGTCATATACCAGTCACTACAGGATTCGGTCTCCACCACAACCCAGGAGGTTCGTATCACTTACCTATCGTGGTTACTGGTGATAAACTGCTGATATGTAAAGTTTGCATTCCTCTGCTAGCACGTACCCATGCATGCTTGTACTTGCATAGCTTTTATACAGAGGAATTATACTAAATATAGACCATCATTCATAATGACACTGTTGTGCAGCTTTGTAACTGGACAGTGTCGGTCATCAACCAGTTTGTTTGTCATGGGGGGTTGTACATTCAAGCATCACTCACTATTTCCTCAAGTGTAAAAATATTTCTTGTGTCCTTGATTTGATTATTAGCTCAGTGCTAGAGATCCTTGTTTGTCATTTCATGATAATAGTTTCGAGAAGTGGCTTTTCTTCCAGGGTCCACATCATACAAGTTCCTCTGTAAATTACTTAATCAGAAGACATGAGCATCTCCGACCCACAAGCCCTTCCTTCCTTCAAATACCACCAGACCAATCAGAGTCGACAGAAAGAGGATTCGAAAGTTCCGGCTCTATGAATTTGCTGTCCGTTCCTTTGCCTATTATGACCCGCCGCTATAGCGACACATCAGTGGAAACATCCTCCGAGACAAAGGGGGAGGAGCCTGTCTCAATGGTGAGAAAGGGGCGTCGCCTTTCTTTAAACCCCACCCCTCACCAGCCACCGTCCCCATGTCAGGCCTGCCTGTCGTTATTCCTACTTGGGACTTGTGCAGATGGAAGACATACGCCCTATTCTTCACTTATGCTTTCAGCCACAGGGGCTCGCAAGGGCTCTGTCAATGAGACCTCTAACCTCTCCCAGCTCAACAAATCTCTGGAGAGCATCACAGGCCACAAACATCAGCCTGCTCTTGCCTTTCTAAGAGCCCCACTGACCAAGCCAGAAAGAGGGTCCTATCGGCCTGCACGCAGCCACAGTGATGAGGGGCCCGCCATGGAGTCGTCTGGTGAGGAATTGGCATCACGTCGCAGAGCAAGTTTTTGTATTGGCGAAAACTCCCTGACTCATGTGGTAGGTCACTCCGCAACTGAGGACAAGGTGTAACCCTGCTGCTTATAGAGGAAATGCTGTGGTTTTCTCTATCCTTTGTGGTGGTTCTGCTGTTGCTCCCAGGGGCCTCTAGGACTTAATATAATTTGCTCAAATCTAAATGCGTTCTTCTTCTCCACTTCTTTAACCGTACTCACCAAGTCCTGTGGGTACTTCTGTTCTCTAACGGAGCCCATTTTCCCCTCAAAACCTACCCAATAACCACGCTTGTGATGTGCCTGACCTCATGCTGCTAACCATCTTTGTGAATCGCTTTGTTTTCATTATCACTTAACCTGGTCGTGTGTGGTCTGCATGCATGCCTTCATATTACTCACTAATGCAGCTGTAAGTGTCAGTGGTTTTTTTTATATGGAATGGCTGTGTATGCAGTTTTCAATAGTTTGTTTACTCTTCTGCAGCCTGCCGTTTTGAGAGTCCAAAGTCAGGCGGCACCTTCCATAGCTCAACACGTGCAGACTTACCCTCCTGCATCCTCCGAGACCCCTGCACAGCCCACCGGACAGACTCTGTCCACTCCACAGCCGCTGGCACTTCTGCACGGCATATTGACTGCACCACAAGCCATGAATCCACAGCAGCTTGGGTCTTCAAGTCAGACTGCAGAGATGAACACGCAGGCCCATGTGTCGCATCAGCCTGCATTTGTGCCGCAGAGTGCCACAGCTCCGAGTTACCATCCTGCCACAGCAGAGCTAGCCAATGCACAGATATTTCCACCTGTGCAGCACACTGCAGTCGCAGCTATCCCATCTAAATCAAAAGCAGCGCTGCCTGCGGATCAGAGTTTCCAGAGTGGAGCCTCTAGCATTCAGCATGTCTCATCAGCACCTGCACAGCCTCAACAAACACCTGCGTTACACCTTTTGCAGCAACCACCTGCGAATGCCACAACAGACGGGCAACTCCATGACTTCTCCAACTTGCAGCAAACTGCTCCTGTGCATCTGAGCCAGGCAGGCTCTGCACCATCTTTCCAGCAGGTACACTTGTTTCAACCTTATCTACCAAATGTGTGTGTATGTGTGTACCAATGTGGCTGATTCAGTTTATGCACTTGTAATGATTGGGCACACTTTCTCTCTAGTCTGTTTGGTTTGTATTGGCTAACTGAGCTCATGGGCTTCTTAATGTGGGTCGCAGTTATAGATGTGTCATTGCTTGGTCCGTATTGCAGCTTATTCTGGCCAAGTATAAATCAGGGGTTCTCAACTCTGTCCCTCAAGATCCAGGCAAGGCAATGGCCAGGCAAAGTTGTCCAGGCATCACTAAATAGATTATATATTGTCCAGCTTTTGGCCTGTTTTTTCATCCATCCAAAAGTAAACAGTTACATTTTCTGTTTCCTGATATCCTGCCGACTACGCCAAAATGTTAGATCATACTGATATCCTGCTGACTTAAACTTAAAATGTTAGATCGGATGGATCTCAATGTCAGAAATATCAGATATATTAGATCCAACCCTGGACCCCAAATCCCTGCATAAGTCTTCTATCAGCCTTGAGAGTTTGACAGAGATAGCCAGGAAAGAACAATCATGTGATGTTAAAAACCTTGAAATGTAGACATTCTCTTATCTCTAACTCATAAAGCCAAACAAACATCCCTTGAAACCACACAATCATAGGATTAAACAACAATAGAAAGGAAATAAATAAGATGAAATATAAAATTATAAAATGACAAATGACTAATAAAAATTGTTACAAAAAGATTAGGGTGACCAAACGTCCTGTTTTCCGAGGACTTGTCCTGTTTTCACGTGCTGTCCTGGCCGTCCTGGCTGTTTTTTATAAAGTGATGAAAATGTCCTGGTTTTCATTATTTTTCATTGGGCCATTAAGAAAGAAAAACTGGATAAAGAGGAAGAAGAAAACTAAATTGTGCCGAGTGTCCTGGTTTTCGATAATCAAAATATGGTCACCCTAAAATAAATGATTAATCAAATGACAGCTATATTGAGGACTGATAATAAATTATTATTAAATTAAATCATAAATTAAGAAAATAAAACTCAACACAGATGAATGATTGCTCTCTTAAAGTAACATACTCACACAGGTTAATATTGACATTCTTTAGATCCCTCAGTGATCAATGAATTGCAAACAAACTGTGCTATTTCAATTTTTGTGACCACTCTTAAAGAAAGCTTGTAAGACATGTCTTAACGGTTTATTCTGCTGCACACATCCTGTTCCTGGAGACTTTCCTAATTCATTTACCTCAAACTCTCAGACGCACACAAACCAGTAATCAAGTTCTTTAGGATCGCTTGGCAGATGTGATAAAGCAGGTTGGCAATAAACCTTGCAGGACAAGAGCAGGGTTGAAGATCTCTGTTCTACAGAGTTCAGTCCCAACCCTGCAACAAAACACACGTGTTGGTAATTAAGTATTCTTTGAGATCTTAATTAGCAGGCATAGTTGTTTAGGGTTGGAGCTGAACTTTGCAGGAAGGAATATCTCCAAGAGCAGGATTGGACACCTCTACTGTAGAATAGACTGACATTGAGCTGACAAGAATAAGACCTACATCTGCAAACCATCTCATGTTTTTCTCTTTGCACACTTGTATTTCTCTCTCTTTCAATCATGTTAGCTCACCATTCAAACACAACTAATGGACAGCTGGCAGCAAAGAGTACAGTCCACGTCCAGTCTTCTTACACAACCCGTCCCCCCTCCACAGGCGGCAGCTTACCTCACACAGGTACGCCCTACTGCCGGCTCTTCTGCTTAGGCGATGTCTACACAAATACGGATACATTTGAAACGCCTTTTCTCTACATTTTGGCCTTTCATTCACACTGAGAAGTGCGAAAACTGAGCATTTTTTGAAAACTCTTTTCAACGTGGATACATTTGAAAATACCGTTTTGTAGTGTAGACTGTAAAAAGGAGGTTTTCAAAAACAATGAGGCATGTTTAAGCGTGACTCATATTGTACCAATAGATATAACGGTATCTGCATGATAATAGGGGGGCTTGTCTGGGATAAAAGTTTTAAAGTGCATTGGTCTGAGCCACTCTTCATATTACATTCTTGCAAATGTCAGAATTTACTGTAATTGCTGTCGTGCTGCAAAACACGAGGCCAATTGCATTCTAGACTACTTGGAATGGCGATTGAGTGTGACCTGGATGCACCGGTGAGTAGGGAGATATTTTGCTAATAAAATGATTGTGCCAGAAGAACAGTGTGAAAACTTTTATTATATCTGGTCTCTCTGTATATCAGGGAGCTTTTATGTTTTACACATGCACTGTAAGATGATTGTAGCATTTTCAAAGGACAAGCAACTTTTGGAAAAAGCTTAAACGCTAGTGTGGACGGAGAGCGTTTTGAAACGAAAATGCTGCTTTCGAATGTATCCGGATTAATGTAGAAGTCAGATGCTTTTTTTTGTGTTGTTTTTTTACAGTCTGCTGTACAAAGGACCTTTGACATTCTGTTCTTGTTGGTGGCTTATTCTTCCCATGCTACAATGCACTTTTGTCTCCTCCAGTTTCCTTCCCTTAACACAGCTCAGTCAGCTGGGATTCCTCCTCCTGGATGTGACCCGTACCCCTCCTGCTTTCCCTCTGTGCAGTCGTCCCTCACTCTGCCAGTCCCAGCATACCCCAACATCTCGCCAACTTCATGTTCACAGATAGAGAGTTCTGCGCTAACTCAGTTCCCGCACCTGTCCTCCACCTCCCCTATACCCTCACAATGTCCCGTCCCACCCTTCGCTGCTCCAGTGTTCTCGCCTCCATTGCCAACAATTCACCAGTACCAGCAGGCCTATTCTGTTGCTCAACAACCCACTGTAAACTCCATGGCCACTCTCTCTCAACATTCCCACAGTCAGGCCACACCCTCTCCAAACCCCACCTCTATGTGTGTTGGAGCCCCGCCCACTAAACAAGCTCAGCCTATACAGGTAGAGTATATCAGTTTGTTTGGACAGGTCTTAAATGGATAGTCCACTCCAAAATTATAATTTGGGTACACTTTATTTTAAGGTGTACGTGTTACAGTGTAATTATACATTTAAGTACTGAGTTATAAGAACTAACTACATGTACTTACAATAGGGTTAGGATTAGTTGCATGCAATTATGCACACCATGTAACGTGTAAGGATGACACTGTAAAATAAAGTGTTACCAATAATTATTTTATTATTTACTCGCCTGCATGTCGTTTGTTAAAAATGTATCTAAATGTATTGCCATATCTGCTTCACATGCTATTATGTGGTAAAGACAGCATGAAACCGAAGTTGCAAAAGTCTTGTCAACAAGAACAATTGTAGGGCGGGGCTCGATTGTGTCTGTGGGGAATTGATTGGATTGTGGTTTGCTATTGGTGGATCTTATTTGAGTGACAGGTTGCCCTGCCCACATCATCAGAGAAGAGCTGTCGCTGATTCAAGATTACGAGGCAAACAAATTTAAAACAACGATGTGCACAGATAAATCGTTTATTATAAATTTATATGCGATATTCCATAAAAAATAAGAATTGTCAATTCTAATTTCGTGGTGACTTTAAATACAACAACTGGGATGCTGCGTTGGGTCTGCTGAAAATAATAATTGTTCCAAAGCAATCAAATTTTCTACATTTTCTAATAATAATCAAATACTTTTCAGAAAAAAAACATTTATGCCCATACTAATTCAATGTTAATATTTAAATATTTTATAGTATTTACCCAATATAGTATTTTATAGTATTTTCCTTTTTATTTATATATATATATATATATATATACAGGTCCTTCTAAAAAATTAGCATATTGTGATAAAGTTCATTATTTTCCATAATGTAATGATAAAAATTAAACTTTCATATATTTTAGATTCATTGCACACCAACTGAAATATTTCATGTCTTTTATTGTTTTAATACTGATGATTTTGGCATACAGCTCATGAAAACCCAAAATTCCTGTTCAGTTATGCACTCAATAGTCAATACTTGGTCGGGAATCCTTTTGCAGAAATGACTGCTTCAATGCGGCGTGGCATGGAGGCAATCAGCCTGTGGCACTGCTGAGGTGTTATGGAGGCCCAGTATGCTTCGATAGCGGCCTTAAGCTCATCCAGAGTGTTGGGTCTTGCGTCTCAACTTTCTCTTCACAATATCCCACAGATTCTCTATGGGGTTCAGGTCAGGAGAGTTGGCAGGCCAATTGAGCACAGTAATACCATGGTCAGTAAACCATTTACCAGTTGTTTTGGCACTATGAGCAGGTGCCAGGTCGTGCTGAAAAATGAAATCTTCATCTCCATAAAGCTTTTCAGCAGATGGAAGCATGAAGTGCTCCAAAATCTCCTGATAGCTAGCTGCATTGACCCTGCCCTTGATAAAACACAGTGCACCAACACCAGCAGCTGACATGGCACCCCAGACCATCACTGACTGTGGGTACTTGACACTGGACTTCAGGCATTTTGGCATTTCCTTCTCCCCAGTCTTCCTCCAGACTCTGGCACCTTGATTTCCGAATGACATGCAAAACTGAGCAACAGTCCAGTGCTGCTTCTCTGTAGCCCAGGTCAGGCGCTTCTGCCGCTGTTTCTGGTTCAAAAGTGGCTTGACCTGGGGAATGCGGCACCTGTAGCCCATTTCCTGCACACGCCTGTGCACGGTGGCTCTGGGTGTTTCTACTCCAGACTCAGTCCACTGCTTCCGCAGGTCCCCCAAGCTCTGAAATCGGTCATTCTCCACAATCTTCCTCAGGGTCCGGTCACCTCTTCTCGTTGTGCAACGTTTTTTGCCACACTTTTTCCTTCCCACAGACTTCCCACTGAGGTGTCTTGATACAGCACTCTGGGAACAGCCTATTTGTTCAGAAATTTCTTTCTGTGTCTTACCCTCTTGCTTGAGGGTGTCAATGATGGCCTTCTGGAAAGCAGTCAGGTCGGCAGTCTTACCCATGATTGCGGTTTTGAGTAATGACACAGGCTGGGAGTTTTTAAAAGCCTCAGGAATCTTTTGCAGGTGTTTAGAGTTAATTAGTAGATTCAGATGATTAGGTTAATAGCTTGTTTAGAGACCCTTTTCATGATATGCTAATTTTTTGAGACAGGAATTTTGGGTTTTCATGAGCTGTATGCCAAAATCATCAGTATTAAAACAATAAAAGACCTGAAATATTTCAGTTGGTGTGCAATGAATCTAAAATATATGAAAGTTTAATTTTTATCATTACATTATGGAAAATAATGAACTTTATCACAATATGCTATTTTTTTGAGAAGGACCTGTATATATATATATATATATATGAAAATCCATTGAGCTTTGTATAGGTGAATTTTACATATTTATGTATTGATTCTTTTTTTTTTTTAAATCTGTATTTTTTAAGGGATCTTTGACCAGCCAATGCCAAACTGTTCACGTGGACCAGAACTCTTCCATCAGCCAAAATGCACCTCAGCCTCCCACAATACCGCAGCTCTCGCCTTTTAGACCCGTCCTCGATACATTCAGCTCTGCTGTGCCTGTGGACCAAAACCAGGTTCCTCAGCTCGCGGTTCAAGCATCTTTACCCAACATTCCCAATGCAGGAGCCCGTGCCAGCCTGAGTCAGCAGAACCTGGTGGGCATCAGCAGTGCATGTGGAGGAGCTCCTCCGGGCCCCGCGGAACTATTTACTGAGGTGACACTTAACACAGTCTGCACATCAGCACAGTCACTATATCAATAGGAGTAGCAGTTCAAGGAAGTACTTTTGCTGTTTGCGAAAATACAATCCTGGGTGGCGTGTTCTCACGGTTACTTTGAAACTGGAGGAGCTTTTTCTTAAGATTTTAAATCCCTCAGTTGGTCTCATAATTAAAGACTATCAGCAGAAATGATCCTTACGCATTTACATTTTTTTTTTTCATGTTGGTTTGTTTTTACCCAAGTCAAGTCACCTTTATACAGTAGTGCTTTATACAATACAGACTGTTTCAAAGCAGCTTCACAGTAATGAACAGCAAACTTCATTAATAAATATCAGACAAATTCTGCTGTAAAGCAGCTCTACAGAGGACAATGTAGTAATTCAGCTCCATTCAGATCACTGTTGATGTAAAAAAAAAAAAAAAGGCATACATTTTATTCCTAAAAAAATGTAGGTTTACATTACAGAGAAAATGACAGGTGTGAATAGGCAATTTTGGACACAAATGCTGTATTTGCATCAACAATCTTTACAGCTATAAACAATTTTGATGGTACATCATCAACGGAATAATCTGTTTTGAAATGAAGTGCCAGTAATGCCTAGATATGTGTAGGGTGCACCAAGAGTGTAATTCGTTCAGTGCCAAAAAGAATCATTTTGGTCCAATTTAAAAATAGAAAATTCTGTGTGTTTTTAATGCTTGTTAGAGTTTTGCATTGTTGCCTTAGCAACACTCTAATGGCAAACTCAGTTGTGATGGCCATTGAACTCATTGCCTTCTGTGCACTTTAGGATCATGTTGCCGATAAACAGGCAGCACCGGCTGGGTCCACTTATGACAGGTGCCGATTCTTTGTTCATAGATCATTGGCATATTCTTTGTTTTATCTTGCTTGTTTTTGGAGTTTCAAACCTTGTGCATACAGAAGCTCAATGATTGGATCTCTGCTCTTTCGCAGTATAAACTCAGATGCCACATCCGGTAAAGAGATGAGTGATGGGAACGAGGGCTCCAACAGAGCTCGCAGTGAATCCCGAGTCCGAAAAAACCTTCGCAAGACATCGCGCACTCGCTCTCGACAAGACAAGATGAACAGATCCAAACTCACCATGATCAAAGTGAGTCCAGAGCACACAGTAAAACTAATGAAGCCTGTCCAGACATGATGTTTAGATATTAGCTTTCAAAAAAGAAAGTGATTTGTGAACTGTTTAGCGCTATTTGGACGGTAATTGTTTCTCACGGGGACGTCTGTAAAAATAAATCTGCATGTTATTTCTTTAAACTGTTTCCAGCGTTTCAGTAATATGTGTCCATATTTAAAACATTATCGTGAACGGTGCCCAGCAGTGGTCAAAAAGGATTTACACAATGACTTTTGGATTGATACCTTCTCGTAAAATCACAACCTTGGTGTTCGCCAAAGAAACAGGTAATTTGACTGGGATCTTTTAAGCAGGTCGTGGGAGAAAAACACTGACATTCTGGATTCAGAAGGCAATAAAGTGACTGACTAAGTCCTGTGAATGCTGAAAATACCCCACGTCCCTATGAGAGACAATTACCGTCCGATCAGGGCTTTTGAGTGGTTCACGGGTCGAAGCTGAGACCTCAGTACCAGTTTGAAAACCAAGTTAAAACTGAGAATATAGCGGAGTTAATTCAGGCTGGTGTTTGATTTTATTCACCAGGATTTGATCGGATACTGGTTATTAGGCAGTGATATTTTTGGCTAATATTATGTTCTTTCAGAGGCATTAAGAATTGAAATATTCTTTTTTGTTGATGTTTCTGTTGAAATATTCTCCCTAACTGTTACAGGTGTGCGACACAGGAGACAAGATGGTGGAGTGCCAACTGGAGACTCATAACCATAGGATGGTGACATTTAAATTTGACCTTGATGGAGATGCTCCAGAGGAGATTGCCACGTATATGGTGAGATCTGTCTCTTTCTCTTCCTATATGCCCCTCCTGGCAAACTGGTGTGTTTTAAACTCCTGTGAGAAAAAAAAGCTTCCACAAACTTTAGCAAAGTAAATGAGATTTGGAGGTGGATTGGACCAACTATAAAAATTTAATTTTAAACCATTGCATTGATTGCTAGAAGGGCATATCTGTTCTTCATGTTCCTCCAGGTTGAGAATGAGTTTATTCTGTTGCTGGAGCGGGAGATGTTCATCGAGCAGCTGAAGGACATCATGGATAAAGCCGAGGACATTCTGAGCGAGGACGCTGAGGGTGAGAAGGCCAACGTCCAGACCTCACCCCTCCGCCAGACGCCCGTCACCACAGACTCCGGCGCACAGGTTTATTAATACATATATAATTTGGATGAAAATGTACAGCTCATATACTTTGTCCTAACTGAGAGCTTTCAAAGTGGAAACAGCGACGGTGTTCTTGTATTAGCATAACGGGGCTAAAGGCACGCCTTAAAGGAAAATGGACTTTTCACTGCTAAAAAGGGGTTTGTTCTGTAGCGGCGAATGAGGTGGCGAGGAAGGCTTTGAAAGCAAAGGCAAGGGGCAAAAGGCAAAACACAGATACTTAGCTAAAGTAATATGTTCCCTTTAGAGGGAACTCAACGCTGTGTCGACTGATGTAATGGCGACGTGCCCCCATGAAACCTGGTGTCTGAGGCACATATAACAATACGCCATTCATGGCCGACACAGTGTGATGATTTTGCAAAGGGCATCCCTGCCAAGCGTGCCTCACAAGTCCTGAAAAGGGAAGCCAAAGTGTCTCAAACGCCCCCAGGTGGTTGGTCCCAGTATAGGTCATAACCCCCGCCCTCTCCATGTAGTCTAATGGGATGCGATGGAAACTAAACAATCAAAATACACTTCAAATAAAAAATGTCCAACAAGTTTTTATCACAGTAATGTAAGTTTAATTGTTAATTTTTTTAAATAAGTTAAAAACGGGAATGTGATGTCATGGTTGACAGTTGTGATTGACAGCTTCTCTATACAAAGTAGTCACTGAGGCACCAACAGACTTTTTTGGTGATTTTCAGAAGGAGATTGGAGCTTCAACTTTCATTTCTACATGTCCGTAACTGTTTATTTCAAACCGACATAATGGGTTGTTCTGCAGTAAACCGTTTATGCGGAGTGAGGGCGGGACCTTGATATCACGGCTTCACTTCACGCTCACTACTGCGGCTCTAGCCCCGCATTTGCTGAGGCAGTGCACAGGCTGTGATCGTGGGGATCTCAGACGGAGCTGATGGGGAGTGTGGGGGAGTTCCCCTCACCTCTTCCACTAGCTCCATCGTCTTTATGCAAGAATGCTCAGCGGCTTCTTTCATGGGAAACAAGGACTCATTGCTCACCTATAATTCTGATTATATAGACATGGTGTCAGTAGAAACGGATATTTATAAAATATCTGTTTGCTGCTCCATACAGCAAAGTGCTGAAAATTATGAGCGATTGGAACTTATGACTCGTGTAACTGCCCGACCAAGCCTGGACTGGTCAGGCTTGAAACGTGAGACCGCAGACAGTCGCTTAGACCAGGGGTGTCCAAACTCGGTCCTGCAGGGCCACTGTCCTGGAGAGTTTAGCTCCAACTTGCCTCTACACACCTGCCTGGAAGTTTCTAGTATGCTTAGTAAGACTTTGATTAGGTGTTCAGGTGTGTTGAGGCAAGTTGGAGCTAAACTCTGCAGGACAGTGGCCCTTCAGGAGTAGGATTGGACATCTCTGGATTAGACGAACAATTTCTGTGGACTCTTAAGTGTGCATCTCCAGTGAGCCTACTATTTCTCCCAGACTTGCACACTGAGGTGTCAGGTTCATGGAAACAACCATACTCTGCTTGTGTGGCTCATTCGGCTTTGAGTTAGTAGAAAGGATTCTACTAACTCGGGTAGAAAGGATTTTAGCTAATTACATTTTCCTGGGGACATCCTCATCGATGAAGGCTCCCGTTTTTGTCCTCTAATCCATGTCAGGCGGCATTGAGGTTGGTGGGCAGAGCGTATGCGGTGGCTGGGCAAACTGGCAGAGCTTTGCACACTATGGCTGTACTGCAAGCTTACTGGGTCAAAACCTGGATCAAGTGGAAGGTGTGTTAACTCAATAACTACAACAGTTATCAGACAATAGATTCTTTATTGCTCCATCACATAACACAGCCGCTCTACCTCTCATAGAACGCCAGACTGAACAACAACTGAATAAACCGCGCTAATCCATAAAAGGTGCTCTTCACACATGCGCAGTAAAAGAAACATAACTTAACAGGTGTATCCCCGAGGCAGCTCTTCGTGCCACCAAGCAGTCGGCCCACTCTCTTGGCCGGTCTATGGCTGCTATGGTGGCGACGGAAAGGTATCTGTGGCTTAATTTTTCAGGCGTCAAGGAGTCGATTCTGTCCACCTAGATGCCCCTGTCTCACCCTCTGGACTTTTTGACACTGCTGTTGAGATAGTGGTGGACTGGTTTAGAGAGGCAAGAATGTAGTTGGCCACCTTTGGGAAGTTTATGCCTCGCCGGGTTCAGGTTCCTCCTAAATCACTTGCGCCCATACCATGAACGAGTAGAAGGCGAATGTGGTTGCCCGAGATCCTCCTCCGAGGAGTGGGAAGCGGAGGCGCCATAATAGGAGAAAACCGTACACAAATCTGACGGCTGTGAGTGTGGTGAAAAAGAGGACATTTATTAAGCGGGGATTCTGCTAAAGCTCTCGCCCCCTTTTTTCACTCTTTTCTTCTTCTTTATTTCTTCCAGTTCCACCACCACTCTGAGAAGGGTGTTGGTGTACAAGAGGTTGTTTCTGGCACTTATGGCTATTACTTTAGGATTGGGGTGGTCTAAAATGAGGGTTGGACCAACTCATTACCCCGAGAAATAAAGTAAGCTAAGCTTGTTTAGGCCCGAGCAGCCTGCTGTTTGCCTCATGATAGAATTTTTTTTTGTTAGACATGACTATCTACATTTGTTGTAATCTCTTTTCTGTCAACTTGTCCAGGTCTGGATATTAAGTAAGGTTATGCTCCTCATTGCCCCAGTCTACGGTTGGGGAAATTGTTAGAAGTGGGTCATGGGCATGATGTCGATTTTCTGGTAGCTCTGCTCTTAGGGATCTAGACTCTCCTGGAGCATAGCTCGGACTAGTTTGAGATGCCAATTGAAAATAGAAGTTGAAAGGTCTTTTCTAAAATCATTATATTAGTCACTGGAAGCAATGTTGTGCATGGTGTGTACAGCACGCCCGCTGACACGTTATTGGCTTAAGACTTAAGCCTTCGAGTTTTAGTGCCACAAGCAGGCACTGGTCAGCATGACGTAGTTGGTATTGATGTCCCATAGCATCAGGCGATGCCGTGTTGAGTTCCCTTGAAAGGAAAAGGCTATGTTACATATGTAACCCGGTTCCCTGAGTAGGGAACGAGACACTGCGTCACATTGCCATGCTTTGGGCATGCCAGCGTGTCTTCCTTCAGACGATACGAATATGATGACGTCTACTCAGGGCCCTTCTTATATACCTTGTGACGTCATCTCACTGTTTTTGTGCCATCTGGTGGTTTAGAGAAGAATAAAATGTGCCTTTTTCCTTGGTGTGCCTTTAGCCCTGGTGTACTTTAGGTGAAGTGTGTCATTTCTGTGCATCACCAAACAGAACTGAACTTGTTTTCTTCCGTATTCAGGGGTCAAAACCTGAGCACACGCAGTCTGACCAGCTAGTCTATAAACAGAACGGTAAGACTAAGACTCGTCATGTTCTACAGGTCTCACTGCAACAACTGTAGTATGAGCATTTAACCCACTGTCTTCCTCGATTTACAGTGCTTCACACAGGAAAGCGCTGGTTCATCATCTGTCCCGTCGCTGAGACGACCGTGCCTGACAGAGAAGAGACGAGTAATACAGCACACCTCATCTAATACTAAATGCACTGTTATAGTACACTGCAAAAATGACCTTCTTTCTCAGTATTTGTGTCTTGTTTTGCAGTACAAATATCTAAACATTCTTGAATCAAGCAAGATGACTTGTTCAAACTTTAAAATGTATGATTAAAAAAAATATATATATCTGTCAGTGTGGTCAGAAAAATAAACAATCCTTGTGCTTTTAAAATGCATGACAATCTCTCATTATGCTATATTATCACCAAATATTGGATTAAATCTTTTTAATTAACTTGTTTTCTTTCAATGGTGCATCAGTCCCCATCCACTTTTTCAGCGGCATTGGTTCAGCATTGCGAACAGCATAATCGAATTAAAGACAATAAAAAATTACTCATTTAATATTGTTGATTTATATGAATAAAAACAATATATTTTAAGTTTATTGTATAAACACAAATATTTAGGGTTAAAGGGTTAGTTCACCCAAAAATGAAAATTCTGTCATTAATAACTCACCCTCATGTCGTTACAAACCCATAAGACCTTCGTTCATCTTCGGAACACAAATGAAGATATTTTTTATTCAATCCGAGAGCTCTCTGAAACTAGAGAATACTTTTTGTGCGCAAAAAACATGATGAAGAGCGTTCTGACGTAGAACTCGGAAGCGCTGCACTGCATTTACAACGTGAACCGCGTAAAGACTCAGACGATAAGAAATTGTTTAAAAAAGTCGTTATATATGTTTGTTTTTTGCACACAGAAATTATTCTCGTCGCTTCATAAAATTGAGGTTGAGCCGCTGTAGTCACATGGACTATCTTAAAGACGTCTTTACTACCTTTCTGGGCCTTGAAAGTGATAGTTAAATTGCTGTCTATGGAGGGGTCAGAGAGCTCTCTGATTTCATCAAAAATATCTTAATTTGTGTTCTGGAGATGAACAAAGGCCTTACCATTTTTGGGTGAACTAACCCTTTAAGTATTTTGATCGACTTGATTACGTCATTCACAGTGCTGATGGCGCTTTGGTGCGGTTTGCTTGTGGCAACTCTGATTGTAGAGCATCATGGGTAATGTAGTTTTTCACCATGAGTTGCACTTTTCAACACGATTATTTAAAAAATATGCTGAAATAATGCAGGTTGACTGCTTCAACAAAAGCAAATACTATCGATTAATCATCTCATAGGCTGTCTTTAAAGGTTTATAAGTTACAATTAAAAGACAGTTTCTCTATGGAAAAAATAAATGGAGGTTTTACTTCTGGAACCCGATTGTTGCGCTCTTTTAGCACAGGCTTTTTATGTATTTTTGGAACAGTTTTTGAGTAAAAAAAAAAAAAGTTCAATCAAGCTTATTCACCTCAAAAAACACTTAGGCCTTTGATCAGTCAGTTCGAAAAAGAGATACAAAACCTGTGTTAATTGAGAAGAGAACCAGTTCATAAATAGACTGAATCCACTATTTGGTGATTTAATATAGCATAACGAGCGATTTACAATGCAATTTAAAAGGTCTGTCATTTTTGACTGGGAACTGGACTGGAAACCAAAACAAAAATGCCAAGTAAGAAATACATTTTTTGCAGTGAATGTGCTTGCTCACCGCTCATTTTTCTCCAGACGCAGAGAGTTCCTCTACATCTCAAGCGCAGGACGTCAACAGTGCCAAACCTCTGCAGACACAGCCATCAATGCCACAGGCGTCTCTCTCTGACAGCCCTCAGACCGCCTGTCCGCCGGGTGTTTCTATGGTTTCTGATATCCCATGCTGCTCAATAGCGCCTCCTGTGTCTCTCGATGTCATTGCTCAGAAAGTCGACGAAACCCCTCAGCAGCCCGTGGCTCATGAAGGCAGCCCGAACGCAGAGCCGTGTGTCAGCCAGACTCCAGCCGTGGTGCTTCAGCAACCCTTTGCCACGCCCACTCCACAAGCTGCTGTCAGCATCAGCCAATCACAGCCTCCGAGCATCAGCCAATCACAGCCTCCGAGCATCAGCCAATCGCAGCCTCCGAGCATCAGCCAATCACAGCCTCCGAGCATCAGCCAATCGCAACCTCCAAGCATCAGCCAATCACAGCCTCCAAGCAACAGCCAATCACAGCCTCCGAGCATCAGCCAATCACAGCCTCCAAGCAACAGCCAATCACAGCCTCCGAGCATCAGCCAATCGCAGCCTCCGGGCATCAGCCAATCGCAGCCTCTGAGCATCAGCCAATCGCAGCCTCCGGGCATCAGCCAATCGCAGCCTCCGGGTATCAGCCAATTACAGCCTCCGAGCATCAGCCAATCGCTGCCTCCAAGCATCAGCCAATCGCAGCCTCCGAGCATCAGCCAATCGCAGCCTCCGAGCCCCACCCATCAGCCCCAACCCGCCACAGCATCGCAGGCGCAGCCGGCCGAGTCCGACGGCGAAGGGCCGCCCCGACTGGAGTTCACTGACAGAACCATAAAGACTCTGGATGAGAAACTCCGAAACCTTTTGTACCAAGAGTACCACCCATCGCAGACCACAAGCTCCGCCTCCGAGCCGCCGGGGTCCCCGCCGCTGTCGGACAGCCAAGGCAGCGATGGGGCCGCCAGGAACGCAGAGAAACTGGTAAAGTTTAATCACTTTTCACTCACACTGCCAGCTGTCAGGTTGTTTTATTAAGATTTATAGCTGATAATAATTAAATTCACATTTATTTGTATAGCGCTTTTCACAGTATACATCGTTTCAACGCAGCTATACAGAAAATGCATGAGTCCACATTACAATTTACAGTGATCTGTTATCAGAGGAAACTGTCTAAGTTATGTATTTTAGAAATATATACAAAATCACAGTTAGCGAAAAATGTAGTAATTTAAACAATGTAATAACTTAAGGCAAAAACAATGAGCCCATTGAAGTAATGAAGCATGAAAACAATAAAATGCTTAAATTCATACTTTTTGTCGTATTTTTTTTTTTTTTTTGTAAAATCAATCCTCCTCCTTTTCACTCACACTGCCAGGTTGTGTTAAGATTAATAGCTGATAATAAAATGGGTAACACTTTACAAAAAGGTTCATTAGTTAACATTAATTAAATACCTAGTTAACATGAACTAAGAATGAACAATACTTCTACAGCACTTATTAGTCTTAGTTAATATTAATTTCAACATTTACTAATACGTTATTAAAATCAAAGGTTGTATTAGTCAACATTAATTACCATAAACCTATTACTTTCTGTACCAATAAGTATATCCTAACATATTTTTTTTTTTTATTAATTTTGCTAGATGGCACAATACAGCTTAATAGCACCTAAAGACATCAGATGCAGTGTTTCAGATAACGTTAGTTTCATTTCGTAACTAAATCAAATCATCATGAATCACTTATATTAATTTAGTATTTGATTTTATCCAAAGCAAATAAAAAATCGTGATAAATAAATACATTGAAATATTATGACCTTTTCTTAACAATGCACCATTAAATTAAGTTTTATTTTAAGCGGTCTCATGTATAAATGTTTTTTTTGTCTCCAGTTTGTTGTATTTTTGCTATTCTGTATTTCTCAGATTTAACTTTAGTTATTCTGTCTCTTTTAGCCTCAGATTCCAGAGAGGTCTGACAGTCTCGGGACCTTGAGTGACTCCGCTGTTGCCCGTAAGTAATGTGCGAGTGTGTGTGTGTGTGTGAGTGAATGTTCATTTATGGATGCAAGTATTCAAAAACACACAGAGAACGGTGTACTTAAATTAGTACTTAAAATAAGCTAAATTAGCCATTTGGAAGACCTGTAGAAATGTAACATAAATGTACTTTTAAATGTACGTTTACTGCTTTAGTTGAATCTAGAATAAGAGTGGAATATAAATCCTATCAATCACGAGGCATTCGGTCTGTGAATGCTGCTTTATTGTCATTCTGTGAAGACGGGACTATATTGTTTAAAGGGTTTGTTCACCTAAAAAGTCAGTAATTACTCGCCCTCAACCTCAAGACTTTCCTTCATCTTCGGGACACAAATTACTTTGTTTTTGGTTGAGCCACTGTAGTCACTCGGACTATTTTAACGATGTCTTTGCTAACTTTCTGGGCCGGCATGTTTCAATAACTTAGAAGCCTATGGAGGAGTGATCCAGCTCTCAGATTTAATCACAAATATCTTCATTTGTGTCCTGAAGATGAACGAAAGTCTTACGGGGTTGAACAACATGAGGGAGAGTCATTACTGACAGAGTTTAAATTTTTGGTTGAACTAACCCTTTAACTGCTGATGTCTGGTGCTCTGTTTTAATCGTTTTCATGATTTTTGATTTTTTTTGTGTGTATTTTGAGCACTGCATGTTGTGTTTTAGTACATGTTTAAATCAAGAGTTTTAAAAGTCAAAGCTTCTCTCTCTCATTCTCTGTCCATCAGCGTTCAGAAGAGCCCTGAGCAGAACGGACTCCGGGGCCGAATCCGGCACGCACGCATCCAAGAGCCACTTCCAGGTTACAGCCCGCCATTAACTACTACTCAAGGTCCTTGCAATCTGAGTCCGAAATTTTCATATGCGTTTTTTTCGTATTCGTGATTCGGTGGCTCTAAACTGTCAAAACACCTCTCAAAAGGTGACCCAATCAGAATTTTTTTATGACGGAAGAAAGTTTCGGAGTTAGTGTGTTAACGTGATTGACACTATTTTTTAACGTGTGAAACCTTCGGATGAGAATTTCTGACTGTGTGTGCAAGGACCATATGATGCATATGACATGATGCTCCTGAGACATGAAGTGTCTCGGTTTGCTGACGCTGTGAGTTTGTGTGCTGTAGATTGTGCCGGCTGATTCAGACGCGTCTTCTCATGATGGTGGAGGAGATCCTGTGATGGATCTGGAGTCTGGATCTGAGAACAGACACAGATCCTCATTACAGTCAGCGAGCAAACGTTACTCGGCACCTGCAGACTTATATCAGGTGTGTCTGCAGCGCTAGGAGTTACACTGCTCACTGTGCAACGTAGCGCTGCTCGATTAGGGCAAAAATCATAATCACCATTGTAAGAAAAAGGTCCTCAAAATAATTACATGAGACAAGTAACAGTCAGCAATACAATAAGAAACTAATTATAAATAAAACTCAGATAAATACAACAGAACAAAAATACAAAATAAATAGTGTATTAAGTTTTTCAGGAACATACAAGTAACCGTAATAGCCTACAACAAAAAAAATGATAATCAAATGTAAAATCACACTGTTATATAACATGCACTCACCTAAAGGTTTATAGGAACACCTGTTCAATTTCTCATTAATGCAATTATCTAATCAACCAATCACATGGCAGTTGCTTCAATGCATTTAGGGGTGTGGTCCTGGTCAAGACAATCTCCTGAACTCCAAACTGAATGTCAGAATGGGAAAGAAAGGTGATTTTGAGCGTGGCATGGTTGTTGGTGCCAGACGGGCCGGTCTGAGTATTTCACAATCTGCTCAGTTACTGGGATTTTCACACACAACCATTTCTAGGGTTTACAAAGAATGGTGTGGAAAGGGAAAAACATCCAGTATGCGGCAGTCCTGTGGGCGAAAATGCCTTGTTGATGCTAGAGGTCAGAGGAGAATGGGCCGACTGATTCAAGCTGATAGAAGAGCAACTTTGACTGAAATAACCACTCGTTACAACCGAGGTATGCAGCAAAGCATTTGTGAAGCCACAACACGCACAACCTTGAGGCGGATGGGCTACAACAGCAGAAGACTCCACCGGGTACCACTCATCTCCACTACAAATAGGAAAAAGAGGCTACAATTTGCAAGAGCTCACCAAAACTGGACAGTTGAAGACTGGAAAAATGTTGCCTGGTCTGATGAGTCTCGATTTCTGTTGAGACATTCAGATGGTAGAGTCAGAATTTGGCGTAAACAGAATGAGAACATGGATCCATCATGCCTTGTTACCACTGTGCAGGCTGGTGGTGGTGGTGTAATGGTGTGGGCCCCTTAGTGCCAATTGGGCATCGTTTAAATGCCACGGCCTACCTGAGCATTGTTTCTGACCATGTCCATCCCTTTATGGCCACCATGTACCCATCCTCTGATGGCTACTTCCAGCAGGATAATGCACCATGTCACAAAGCTCGAATTATTTCAAATTGGTTTCTTGAACATGACAATGAGTTCACTGTACTAAAATGGCCTCCACAGTCACCAGATCTCAACCCAATAGAGCATCTTTGGGATGTGGTGGAACGGGAGCTTCGTGCCCTGGATGTGCATCCCACAAATCTCCATCAACTGCAAGATGCTATCCTATCAATATGGGCCAACATTTCTAAAGAATGCTTTCAGCACCTTGTTGAATCAATGCCACGTAGAATTAAGGCAGTTCTGAAGGCAAAAGGGGGTCAAACACAGTATTAGTATGGTGTTCCTAATAATCCTTTAGGTGAGTGTACATAGTCACTTACTGTACACATTAGATATAGATGAATCCTTATTAAAGCTACTTCAGTTATTCTGCCAAGATCAGTGAGTGATTTTCCTTTGTGTTTTGTTGTGTACTGATCATTAATGACACCGACTGCATGTTTATTAGAGTCTGACATAGCTTGTCAATATCATACATTTGCATTTCTTTTGCTTTTCTTTTTTTCAGGACACACTTACTTCCTTTCCAGAGTCCAGACCCACAATGCCTTGCGCTCGGAGCTGTCAGTCAGCTGATGGGACGATGCAGTGCCTGTCCTCTGACTCAGGAGAGGAGGATCCGAGCGGGGCCCCGCCCATCAGGCCCTCGGCTCCGGCTCCGGCCCGGTCGGACTTCATGAAGCGTGCGGTAGCTTTCCTCCGGCGCTCGGGTCACAGTAGCAGCGTGCAGAGCTCTGATTCGCCCTCGTGTCCTGTGGCGAACGGACACGCCCCTTCGGCCGCAAGCCACGCCCACTCCGCGTACGTCAGCAGCGATAATGACTCTGAGTTTGAGGACGCTGACATGAAACGAGAGCTACAGAAGCTGAGGGAGAAGTGAGTAAAGCTACGTGTGCTAACACTGGCCCAGTCCAAGAGTGAACACTTTTTAACTCAGGTTCTTGTTCTTATGCACAATTCATCAGTACACATCATTAAACTTGGTAATCTTTCACCACAATGTAACAATTGCTTCACTTCTGAAACAACTTTTCTTCTTTGGCCAACAACATCATATATCATCATATAATATAGAAAACAAATTCACCATGTGTTTATTTCCCAATTGATTAAATCAAGTCCCCTCCTACTTTTTTCCTTGTTATACTGGTAAATATTGCACAATACAAACAGCGTATAATTTTGACTTTTAATATTAAACTACAAGAACCGACAAAATCAATCAAAAATCACAGCCAATCAGAAGAGCGTGTGGGCGGAGTCTCTCTCACTTGCTACAAAATGGACAAGCACATAATCAAGTTCACAAATATTACAGTATTTCAATATTACATACTGAGTGACTGAAACAAGCTCTTGTCATAGAATACACTTGTTTTATTCACAGTTTGAATAACTTGTTCCCTTTAATTTATTTTCAAGATCTGAGGTGAATTATCCATTATCCTTTCAGTACAGCTATAAAGGTCACACAAAAGGATATTCAAACTCACATTAATGCTTTTAACATTAAATAAAGCACATCATCAGTACCTGAGATTATCACTGTTATGTATATTGTTGTTCCAGTCGGCTGGCTCAGACAAAACCTCTGATTAACATAGAAAAGAGGCCTTTTATCGCGTCGCGTCACTGCCGGTTAGGACACTGTTTTATTCATCCTGAACACCAGTGAAGGAACACCGGCTTCTATAACACAGAATAATTGTGCCAAAACAAGGGTTTTCAAGTTATAAAAATAAAACTGCAATCAAACATCTGATTGTTATCCTGAGTTGACCACTTCTACTGGGACCAGGTGTAACCCGGCACTGATGTGTATTTTAACATGATTTAACATGACGGAGTTGCCAACTTTGGTTCCTTCGCTGGAGTGAGATTTCTTACTGACTAATGTATTAAAAATGCATATTTTATTCTAAATTATTGCGCTCATTTCTCTCGTGTGTGTTTTGACACACTCATGCACGTTATAAACTCTTATACTTAAAACATATCAAAGTCCCTAAAATTGAGTCGAGTCCTTTTGTCAATGCGGTTTGCTTTGTCTTTTATCTTCCAAACTAATTTTCACTTCTGTAAACGGTGAATTTCACTGGCCAAATAGAGCATTTCCCTGAAAGAATCGCATGTTTCTTCATGCATGCATTCATGGCTCGACAGTTAAGACAAGCAGATGAAAAGCGTCACTCCGTGTTTTGTCCCGCAGGCACATGAAGGAGATCTCTGAGCTCCAGGCCCTTCAGAGAGGAGAGATCGAGCGGCTGTATTCTCAGTTAGGTCGGCCTGTTCCCCCCAGCATGGGCTTCCCGCACGCAGTGCCGCCTACAGGCCGGCGCCGCAGAGCCTCCAAACACAAGCTGAAGGGAAGCCGACTGCTCAATCCCATGGTGCAACACCTCCGGAGCAACCGGAGCAACAGCTCAAGTAAGTCTGCAAGCGTCTGTGTCTGAGTACCAGCTTTAGTTCCCCTTGTAGTTAATAATTGTATCCCTTAAAATCATCTTTGATCACCAAAATGACATATTTAAAAAAAAAATCCTTGAAAGAAATTCTTCATCCCTTAAAATAGCTTGAAATATGCAAATGAGCCCCGCCTCCACTCACTCAGCTCAGAGATCCACTGGTTGACGATCACACGTTGATCTGATTGGTTACAAAGTCGTTTGTGACGTCAGAAACACCAGCGATTTCAAACCGTGTTTTTGAGACTGTCTTTGGTTCACTGCAGTTTTAAGCAGAAAATACTCAGCAATGCTGTCGACTTACGCTTTAAGACAAACCATGTGTAAATTCATATTAAAAACACCACATAGACATATAAACAATATTAAAAGCTTTATTTTCACCACAGGGTTTTTTTAAGTTTCGGTATTGGGTAGGATTAAGGGATATGGCCATGTAGAATAAGGCATTAATATGTGCTTTATAAGTACTAATAAACAGCCATATCCTAGTAATATGCATGCTAAAAAGCAACAAGTTAAGAGCGAGAATTGGACCCTAAAGTGTTTCCATTACATGTAGGTAATTATTATTACTCATTACCTAAATGTATAATTGCGCTGCAACACGGACACCTTAAAATAAGGTGTAACTGAAAGTTTTCAACCCCTCAATGGAGGTTTGTTCTGAAGTCTGATCTCAGAACATCCTGAGGGTCTGTGCTTAAATAGAAGAACAGTAGTTTGGCTTTGTCAAGTCAAGATTTAACATATATTTTCAATAATAGCAGTTTTAAATATCCCATCTCTTGCAGTTTTGTGCAACCCGTGCATCTTTAATCTTTAAAGGGATAGTTCACCCAAAAATTGCAATGCACCTTTGGCGTAACTCGACTTGCTTACACCGTCTGACGAAGCTAGTTATTTTAGTTTTTAAAGTTTTAAATACATTTACATTTATCTGACGCTTTTTATCCAAACCGACTTACAATTGCTATATATGTCAGAGGTCGCACGCCTCTGGAGCAACTAGGGGTTAAGTGTCTTGCTCAGGGACACATTGGTGTCTCACAGTGGATTCGTTCCCGGGTCTCTCACACCAAAGGCATGTGTCTTATCCACTGCGCCATCACTACCCCTGAATAGAAAATATGGATCTTTTTCTCACACAAATGCATGGCTTTGCTTCAGAAGGCCTTTAATAACCCCTGGAGTCGTATGGATTACTTTTATGATTAATGGATACACTTTTTTGGGCTTCAAAATCTCCATTTATTCCCATTATAAAGCTCGGAAGAACCAGGACATTTTTTTAATGTATCTTTGACTGTGTTAGTCGGAAATAAGAAATATACACCTAGGATGGCTTGAGGGTGAGTAAATATTGGGTAATTTTTATTTATGGGTGAACGATCCCTTTAAGCCCATCAAAATGAAAGCTTCTATCGCACTATAAAACCCCAGATTGTCAGTATTCGCCGTCTGTGTTCTCCTGCAGCCGAGACGTGCTCCAGTGCGTCGGGTTCTCCGGTCAAGAGCTCTGTGGGATCCAGCACTGCCAGTCCTGTGTCAGAACCGCTGGAGCCGGTCCAAACCCAGCAGCCCTGCTCGCTCAAGGGCTCTCTGTCCTCCGACAACATCTACGGCCCCAACACACCACCCAGACAAGGTGAACACACACACGCGCTGTCCTCTAGAGGAGCCTGTCGAGCTGTTGCTGCACGTACAGTGTCTGCTGTGATGCGTCTTCCGCTGCCCTAACCAGCCGCGCTGTAGCTAGCGTCTCACTGAGAGCACAACGCATGTACTAACAATCACAGATTACGTGAAGCAAGACTTTACACGGCCAAAAATGCTTTTCTTGGTATTTTTGTCTTGTTTCCAGTTCAAATATCTAAAAATTCTTAATTACTAGAGAAGTAAAATGACATAAGAAATTCTATATTGTTTTCTGATTAAAATAAATAAAATGAAGTGAGTTTTTACTTAAACCAAGCAAAGTTATCTGCCAATGGGGTAAGAAAAATAATCTTGTTTTCCATTTGAATTAAGATTTTTTCTTACCCCATTGGCAGATCATTTTGATTGTTTTAAGCAAAAATTTCATTAAAGGTAGGGTATGGGATTTGCAAAACGGCCGGCAGATTTTGAAAATACACAACTCAAAAGGTCCTACCTTCTTTCCTCCAACGCTGGCCCTGACTCCACCCACTCCACCCATTCGAAGAGGGTATGGGACGACCGTTTGATTGACGCACTTACTGTCCAATGATTCTAGCTGGTCTTGGAAATGATTGACTGAGTTTTTCGAGTCCTGCCCGTTCCACAGATGATTATAATTGCTTAATTTTCATTTCAGTGTTTCTAAATCAGTGGCTGTAAGTGGGTAAGGAATAGGATTTTGAAAAAGTGGTCAAAAAAGAAAATCACATACCCCACCTTTTAATTTTATTTATTTTAATCAGAAAACATTATAGAATTTCGTATGTCATTTTCCTTCTCTAGTAAATGCTTCTTGATTTAAGAATATTTAGTATTTTTGTCTTGTTTTTATCTCCAGTCCAAATATCTAAGTAAGAAAAGCATGTTTTGCAGTGTAGTGTTTGGAGCAACACACAGAAAGCAGCATATGATTGATTGCTAGATACTGGCTCGGACGCAGCGTGACACTCATTTACAGCGGATGTGCAGAAGACAAACGTGTCAGAGATGCCTCTCTGTGACTCATATCTCTCTCCTTCTGTTTTTGTCACATATCTCACTCACTCTCTCACACGCATGGGGTTATTTCACAGTCTCTCATGTGCTCAACTCATTTACTTCGTTTAAATGGAGTCAGACAGAATGTGACATTTAAACGGCTCCTTAATTGCTCTGTCACATGATTTCTCCAACGGCAAAGGAAGATTGCATGATGCTCATACTGTGTATGAAACATTCTTACGGGTCAGTAGACACTTTCACACATTTAGTCTTTGCCGTAAAAGTCTCCATTTAGAGGTCATGTGTGAGCGGGAAGGCAAATTATCTTTTGTATTTTGCCAAATTAAGGAGTTATTACCACAAAAGTTCTTTATTGATGCTATATATGAACAAGTCTATCATATGAATAGTTTGTGCCAAAGACTGAAGGCAAACTGCACATGCTGTACTCCGCTGTTGTTGCGGTGGTGCTTATGCAGAAACAAGAGCTTGAATCTGGCTCATGTCATTTCCCTATTCCTCTGTTGTTTCCTTTCACCTTTCAAGTGAATCGTAAAAGTCCCCAAAATATACGGAAGAAACTGAGGAAAACCAGCTCAGGCCCTCCGGTTGGATTGAAGGTTCACCTTCCACCTGATGTTCCTGAGTGGCCTAACCAGAGCCTTAACTTTAACCCCACTAATGATTGTGGAACAGCAATGCTCTCAACTTCACAGACCTTGAGAGGATCCATAAAGAAGAATCCCCAAAAGAAGGTGTGCATCATACTCCGTTTTAATTGTTGAAGCACCCTTGGTAGCCCAGGACTTAGGAGCTGTTTACACGACAGCGTTTTCAACTGAAAACATTACATTTTGTATGCGTTTTGGCCGTTCATTTACACGACAACAGCGTTTTGGATGCCAGAAAACGCAAGTTTTTGAAAACTGTCTCCATGTAAACAACAAAAACGTGAATCGCATGTCGTCTGTACGCGGAAAACTCAAAAAAAAAAAAACATCTCTGTTTTAAGCGTATATTTGTTGTACCCTAAGAATAGAGTCTGAATACATATGTAACTGATTTTATTTCTGTTTTACTGCAAGGAAGTGAATAAAAATGCAAAGCAGTCTGAATATTTTGTGAATGTATTGTTTATATTTCCACTGTAGCTGGTTAAAGATTTTCCGGAAAATAAATGTTAAAAATACCTGGAGAAAACGATTCACTAGCATTCAGTAAATCTGTTGCCCCTTTCACACCGGGTAGGGGACCTAGTAACATTGCCGTGTCGTAATGATGACGCTGAAGCCGGGATCGTTCGCCAGCTAGTGAAACGCTAATGCGCTAGTTTATGATCGAATCAGAGAAATAAATGCACAAGCGTGGTTTTCGAGAGAGAAATCGCAGCTCATAAGCAAACTTAAGACGCTGCTGAGATATTACGTCACATCGATGTCATGTGTCTTTACGGGATCTTTACGAGTTGTGTGTGAACGCACTCTCTGATTCCGGAAAATCACTGGCAGTGTGAATGAACCAAAATCAAACGAACCCGGGTCAAATCCCGGGTCACTTTATCCGTGTATTTTCCGGAATCTCTGTGTGAAAGGGGCTTGTAACGGCCTCACGGAAAGCCTGTGCTCTGTCCCATTCTCCAGCTGAAAGGGTGGAGGAAAAAAGCTAAGACTTACTAAGACTATAGATAAGTTCCAAGAAAGAACACAAGCGTGACAGAAAGGCCTCAGCCAGCTAATCCCATGCATAATACGGGAGACAAGTGAAAAAACACCATTAATTGGTGTATACTCAGCAGTAGTCGCTGCTACATCCACTTTAAGTGTAGCTGAGTCCAGCTACACTCCTGAAGGTATTGCAGAACCAGAGGTTGTATTAGACTTTCACATTGTCAGGGTCGGTAAAATTCTGTCATAATATACACTCACCTAAAGGATTATTAGGAACACCATACTAATACTGTGTTTGACCCCCTTTCGCCGTCAGAACTGCCTTAATTCTACGTGGCTTTTATTCAACAGCTGCTGAAAGCATTCTTTAGAAATGTTGGCCCGTATTGATAGGATAGCATCTTGCAGTTGATGGAGATTTGTGGGATGCACATCCAGGACACGAAGCTCCCGTTCCACCACATCCCAAAGATGCTCTATTGGGTTGAGATCTGGTGACTGTGGGGGCCATTTTAGTACAGTGAACTCATTGTCATGTTCAAGAAACCCATTTGAAATGATTTGAGCTTTGTGACATGGTGCATTATCCTGCTGGAAGTAGCCATCAGAGGATGGGTACATGGTGGCCATAAAGGGATGGACATGGTCAGAAACAATGCTCAGGTAGGCCGTGGCATTTAAACGATGCCCAATTGGCACTAAGGGGCCCACACCATTACACCACCACCACCAGCCTGCACAGTGGTAACAAGGCATGATGGATCCATGTTCACATTCTGTTTACGCCAAATTCTGACTCTACCATCTGAATGTCTCAACAGAAATCGAGACTCATCAGACCAGGCAACATTTTTCCAGTCTTCAACTGTCCAATTTTGGTGAGCTCTTGCAAATTGTAGCCTCTTTTTCCTATTTGTAGTGGAGATGAGTGGTACCCGGTGGGGTCTTCTGCTGTTGTAGCCCATCCGCCTCAAGGTTGTGCGTGTTGTGGCTTCACAAATGCTTTGCTGCATACCTCGGTTGTAACGAGTGGTTATTTCAGTCAAAGTTGCTCTTCTATCAGCTTGAATCAGTCGGCCCATTCTCCTCTGACCTCTAGCATCAACAAGGCATTTTCGCCCACAGGACTGCCGCATACTGGATGTTTTTCCCTTTTCACACCATTCTTTGTAAACCCTAGAAATGGTTGTGCGTGAAAATCCCAGTAACTGAGCAGATTGTGAAATACTCAGACCGGCCCGTCTGGCACCAACAACCATGCCACGCTCAAAATTGCTTAAATCACCTTTCTTTCCCATTCTGATATTCAGTTTGGAGTTCAGGAGATTGTCTTGACCAGGACCACACCCCTAAATGCATTGAAGCAACTTCCATATGATTGGTTGATTAGATAATTGCATTAATGAGAAATTGAACAGGTGTTCCTAATAATCCTTTAGGTGAGTGTATATGGTTACCCGTCATTTTTAATCATGAATTTATAGGACAAGAATATAGGCTAGATTAAGCATTTATATATTTTTGAGGAAAACAGATGAACAGAGAGTGTTTCATGTGTTCAACACCTTACTAAGCAGATGAATGTTTGTTTTTTCCCCCGCAGGTGAAAGCAGAGGCCACTTAAACACGACCCGAACAGGCAAATATAAACAACGTTAGGGCTAGGTAAAAAATATAGATTTTTCAATTTTATTTGATTCTTATTTTATGGATCAATATCAATTATTAAATCTTAAAAATCAATCTTTTAGTCAGTGCTGTTTTCAGTTGATGAATGAACAGAACATTATATTGCGTCTCCCATCTAATAAATCACAATAATCTTTGTGCTTTGTTACTTTTGATATGAAACAAAGTCTCATTCAAATTCTGTTCATTTTATTATGATAATAATAAACAGTCTCACTCACCCACTGGAAAGGGGTGGGAATTACAGTTACAAGTTACAATAGATCACCCTCAGTGCAATCTGTCAAAATGATGGACAGCATTCAGATTTTTCCATCACTGCTAAAAAGAAATTCTGTCAATGATGGAAAATTTCAGTTAATGCAATCCTCTGGCCAGAACTGAAGCAAGAAGGAATGATCCAAATTCAAATTGTGCTCTCTACACAACAATGCAAATATCTACCACTTAGGAAAAAACAGCCTCCTAGTAGAGGGAGCCCTTGCATCCAAAAGGATCTCTGTAACCTCAGACAAAAGACCAGAATTAACCTGATACCCCCAATCAAATACCAAACTCAAAGTTTCCTACCGGGGATGCCACATACTGCCCTCAGCCTGTGAGAGTTAATCCACTCTGATCTGTATTTCCCACAGACTCTCATCCAGGAGAAACACAAGATTTAAGAAACATACCAAGACGCACTTCCCACACTCTTAGAAGGACAGGCGGAAGCAGACTTATCAGTGGGAAGGCATACAGATGGGCCATCAGCCAATCATGAAGCCAGGGTGTTTATCCCAAGAGTTGGAGGAAACAAATCAAAGGGGGAGCTGGACTCTTTCTCGCCAAATCAGACCCATGGTATGAGGCTGCAACCTCTGTGCTCTAGGCCTCAACCCTTACCTTCAGAGAGGATCTGCTCCCACATCCAACTGACCTGGGAAATGCACTGCCCTCAGTGACGGAAGTTTGTTCTGCGCAAGAATGTGCCACACTAAACACCACATGGGTCACCAACACATTCGGTTTATGTAAAAAACTACTGACATGTTGTCTGTCATGAGAACCACATACCAGGCTCAAATGTCCAGAAACAAATAACTTCTGGACTCCATGGCTGAAAGTGACATGTAAAGGACAAGTATGGTACCCCATTCTAGTGATGGGAAGTTCGGATCACTTTACTGACTTCAAAATGAACGAATACTGAGTCATTCCATTCATTTAAGTGGCTTTAAAGGTTATACTTTTAACAGTCAAATTCCCCGAACACATCCACCACGCAATCTTGATCATATTCTGAATTGCGAAATCATTATAATACAGCCATAGATCATTTACAGGGAACTAGAGCTGGGTTTCGATTCAAATTTCAAGAATCGATTCGATTCCGATTCTCAAGATCTTGAATCGATTATCATTATTCGATCCGATCCAATCCGATCTGATCCGATTTTCGAGATTTAGAAAAGTGTTTTTGTTTTTTTCCAGCCGTTACCTGAATTACAGGACATATTGATACTATTAGGCTATTATAGACATTTAACTGCAAATTAATGGAGTATTGATGGTTGTAAAGAACAATCCCCCTTCCAGAGTGTTGATACAACTGCTTTCACAACCTTGCACTGGTGTAAACGACAGAGGACGCAGAGGTATATCAGCAGCTTAGGGCTGTCGCGATTACCGCAATCTTGTAGTACCGCGCTACAGACAAGTCAACCGCAGAGGATTGCAAGTAACCGCAGCAACCGCGATATTCACGTTTTTTTTATAAGGCTATACCCTTCTTGTTTTGAACTTCATGCATGTGTATTGAATGTTAAACAAGTTCATAATGATAACAAACAAGACTGTTTATCGTGGTGATGTGTAGCCTACAGAGGCTTCGCACAGACAGTGAATGAGAGAGATCGGCAGAGCGCGTGCGGATTACCTGCGTCTGTCTTTGAAGTCATATGTATTCGTGAAAAAGGTTGCCGTGTCAAAGGAAAGCGAAATATTTGTCGTATCATCCTTTTAACGTTCACGTCACGGGTATTTACCATAAATGCGCGTCAGCAGCAGCGCTGGTCAGCATTCCACAGCGCGAGGAAGCCGCGGGGAAATAAAATCAGCGAGTCACGCATTGAATCAATGCCATATTGGTCTCTAATAAGTGAAGCATCAGCTTCAGCGTTACCCATGCGACGCATTGCTGCTCAGCTGAGCGTTGAAAAGTGGAACTCAAAGTTAAAAATAATTAACACCTTGTTTCATTACATCTCTTTTAATGAATCAGCTTTTTTTAACGTGTTCGTTGAATGAACGAATGACTCACTTTCCCCGTTGTTGTAACAGTAACAGTGTGCGCGCTGAGTGAAAGCCTTTCAATGCGCATACAGGGATCTCCCAGTCGCGGCAAGTTAAAGTTCACGGGGAAAATGTAAGCCTATTATTAAATCGATCCTCTGAGTTACGGATCGATCTTTAGAAATTAATATGAAAATCGATTCAGAATTGGTGAATCGATTTTTTCAACACAGCCCTACAGGGAATATAAATATTTACTTTACCTTACGAGTCTTTCGTTCAACGTGACCGATGCAATGAACTGATCGTTCATGAATGACCCATCACTACCCCATACTTGGAATTTAACTCATCCAAGTTAGTGCACATACATTAGGAGTAGTGAGTAGTGAACAAACACACACTGCAAACCGTGGACACACACCTGGAGCTGTGAGCAGCTATTTTTTGGGTTACCAGTCTTACTTGGCCAGACGACTGGACGCTCTTTGTAAAGTTCGTCCAACCTACTGATGAGGTGTTCGTCGAAATAGTCTTGTGTTGACAGAATCTGCCCATCGGGAAATGTCAAAATGCCAAGACTCAAAAACTGATATAGCTGATGAGCTGATATAGTTTCTTGACAGTGACCAGTGTCACCAAGTGTCGAGGTGTCCATGAGCAAGACACCTAACCCCACCTGCTCCCGACGAGCTGGATGGCGCCTTGTATGGCAGACACTGCCGTCGGTGTATGAATGAGTGTGTGAATGGGTGAATGTGAGGCAAATGCAAAGCGCTTTGGTGGCCATTGGGTCTGTAAAAGCGCTATAAAAATGTAGTCCATTTACCATTTAGACCTTCCTGAGCAGCAGGAAAACCCTATCCCAAATGGAAGATTGTATGGCCTGTTTTAAATAAGGCACCCAGCATGCAACATGTAAGAACATCACTGTAAACGAGACTCCTGTGCTCCAAAGGCATTGTTGCATGAAACACAGTGTTTTTCTTCTGTCATCTGAGATGCAAAATGTGGAGGAACTAGCAGAACAGAATCTCGAGGCCAGCAAGGTGAAAAGCAAATATGCTTTAGCGGTTTGACATGATTTTTCGCGACCCCTCAATCAGGAACGGCTGCAGGTCTGAAGCCTTGGCTCCCAGCTTCTGATGCACTTATGGGGTTTCAATTCTAGCCAACTTCAACCTCAAAGATATACATGAGAACCAGAGATGTCTCTCGGTTGGAACCAACCCTGCCATACAATGACTGAGCACCAAATCAGTCGCTCGTCTGAGCTCCTTGACTGTCTCAGGAGTCAAGTCAGCCCCTTCATCTTTATAGGCATCAGCTTGGTACACCTGCAAAGCCGGCATGGTATCCAACACCTCACCCACCTGACCGGCAGTGATATAGGAATCAATGATCAGGGCCGATGTAGTCCTGCAGGGGCTTAAACGGCCACTTTTTCCAAGATGGGGCAGAAGACGGTGAGAGATGAGTAGCAAGCTCCTCTTCAACCACATGCCTTTCAACACATCCCTGCTCCATCACGTCAGAGATAATGGAGTGAGGCCAGTGGCGCGAGTATTAGTGAGCGTCACCTGTGCCACACTGGTCTCGAGTCCCACAGAAGAGCTCCAGAAGGATAAAAGGAGTGATGAAAGTGCAAGATGAGAGAGGACCAGGCCTGGACTTGTTGTTTTGATTTGTTTATGCGGCAGTCCTCTGTGAGGGGCTGTGAGGCCTCTTTACTTTTGTTTTTTTTGTATATAATTATTTTATTATTTAGGTTCCCGCCTCCTCCTTCCTTGAACTTTATTACACAGAGGTAGTCGGATTTGTGATCCATGCCGAAAAGGGCTGCTTCCAGGACCTCAAAATCTTTTGAAATCCTGGAAATATGGCAGCGACATGTAAGGTGGACACGTACTATGGCCTGCCAAAGAGCCTTAACTTATTCAACTTAGACTGGACTTCTGGCTGGGCTGCATCGGTCGCCACATCCCAAAGCTAAGAATAAGCCAAAGAGGGCCAGGCTTCATTACCACTTTGGAGAAGAGCATCAGCTTGCCCACTGCCAAACTCCTAACAAGCATTCACTAGAAAAATCGCATCTTGAAGAAGAGAAATCTGCGAGATGTCACGTCGTTTTGAGGCACCAACAATGCTGTACTATTGAGGGCAGCGATAGTGCCACCAGCCAATGAATTCTTGTGTGATTCTATGGGTTTCAGACAATTGCCACACTTGGAGGTTGTTCCCATAATGTCTGACACAGCGTTGAGTGAACCTATAAAAGGAAAGGGTGTCCTAACATGCTTGACCGCACACACAGTCCCAAATGCTTTACTAGGGACTTTCTTGAGCTGTGAAATGGCGGAAAAATACCAGTCGGATTATTTGGAAAGAAAAAACACGACTTTTCCCATCATACTGGTGTAGTTACCAGTTAAACCAACTAAATCACTTTGAGTGAATGGTTAATACAGCAATGTTACAGTACTTTAAACATAAATGGGTTTTATGTGTGAAAGTGGCTAATGATACATAAGACTGTGACCTATTTGATCGATTCCAGAAAAACATTCCCATTGTTAGAAACACACAGGCACATGTACACACTTCCACATCTACATTAACACTTTTTTTCTGAGACGCTTGACCCGTGTTGTGGTGTGTTGCTGATATGATGCTTGTTGATGGGGTACTGATCTGAACGCTACCTGTGTCGGCTGTTACACCTGTCTCTCTCTCTCTCTCTCTCTCTCTCTCCCTTTCTCTCTCTCCCTCTTATATTCATTTCTCCACAGGCTGGACCGTTTACCACCAAACATCCGAGCGAATCACCTATAAATCTAGTAGCAAACCGCGCACTAGATTCCTCAGTGGACCCGTGTCTATGTCCATCTGTTTGTATTTGTTCTACTTTTCTTCTATTACTCATAATTCCTTTCCCCATTTCTTTCTGCTCTTCTCTCGTGATTTGCTTTGTTTTTTCTGTACTGCATTTCCCACGTTCACATCAACTAACACACATTCTCAGCCATTTAATTTCCATATTCATGTCAGATGGCACTTTCCATGAATATGGTACGATGTACTGCAACTGCGAAAGTCAAAAATTTCCCACAAACTAATTTTGGGATTTGTGCCTCTACAGTTGTATCCTATTCAGGAAAGACCTTCATGTCTACTCGTCCTGCCTTAAATTTGTCTTCTTTACAAATGCTTTGTGCTGGGCTGCAGCTTTGACCGATAACGTGAGCTGTCTTCCCCCAAACATGGCCATTCCCAACATTTAACTGACAGTAGAGAGAGCGTGTATGGATTTGTCTGCCAAAGCTTTTGTATCGTCTATATATCTGTGCCTTCTTTCCTTTTCACTCCACGTAAAACCCCAATGAGACGATGATTGACCTGCCGTCTCATGTTTGGATTCGGAAGATGAGCATGCCAAGGGCACGAGCAAGTCGCTGTGGAAACCATCAGGGCTGTATTTTGAATTTTTTTTTACCTCACTTCCTGTTCTCTGGCTGTTACCTGCATGATTCTACGATGACACTGTCCCAGATGCATATTATATTTACCTTGTGTTTCTGTTACATTTAGCTTGTAGTATTTTGTTCCTCTAGGTGAGGGTTAATTTTGGACAAAAACATGAATTTTCCAACCAGTGCATCATAGCTGTGATTAGGAAGCCAGTTTATTTTTATACTTGGTCTCCCTCCATGTCAAAGTTATGATTTAGTCGTCATTCTAACCTTCATTGTGTAGAAAATGTCCCCCCCCCCCTTGTAATTTACTAGTTACATTTTGAATTTGGCATGCAGAGTTTCGTTGTATTCAAATTCCCTTTTTAAATGCTTTGTTTTTTTTATTATTTTTCTTTGTTGAAATGTTAGACGATATTTGTACCGTATGACGTTTTAAAGCTTAAAGTAAATTCTGTTTAAAACATTAAAAAAATAATGTTTAAAAATAACTCATGCCATGCTTTCTGGGGTGGATAAAAAGTATTTTTATCGATCCAGATGTTTTTTGTTTGGGTTTAAATGGTTATTCTTTTAACTCTTTCCCTGCCAGCGTTTTTGAAAAAAGTTGCCAGCCAGCACCAGCATTTTTTATAATTTTCACAAAATTTTCATGGCCCCAAGAATATTTTGTTGTATGAATATCTGAACAGTCAGTATATCAAAAAGAACAGAACAGCCTCTGCTTTTAAACAAAAAAACATGTTTTCTTCTAGATTCATGTATTCTTTTTTATTAAAACTTGAATACGTTTCATAAAAAAGCAACATTTTGAACAAAAAGCTGAACAAAAATTATGTTTTCATTCATTTGGATTGGATTCAGAGTGATGATCAAAACACAGATAGAATAGATCGATCCATCAACACCCTCAAAGCTTCACAGTCGTTTCCTCTTCATGGATTCAACATTTCATTCAGTAACATTAGGCAGTTTTGATTTATATGCCGCGTGATTTGACATGCGTCAGCAATGCTTCTATCACTTGTTTCTGCTTCTTCTTCGTCTGTGTTTTGATCCAGAGATTCTGTAGTATTTCAGAAGATGTGTAATAGCGCCCCCTACCGTATAACAGTGGAAACACGGATTCCTGGAAAAACTCGTCAATGGCAGGGAAAGAGTTAAAAGTGGAGGTTTAGGAGAAGATCAGTTCAGTTTTAATCTTAAATGCACAGTATTTTCACTCACGGCCACAGACACGTACCATATATGATTGTGAGCAATGATTCAATTAATTAGTCTTGACTTTAAAAGACTGCATGAAATCGTTTTTTTTTTTACTTTTAGTCATTGTCTTTTAGCTTTGAGGTCATTTGCTGTATAGAGTCATGTAAAAAAGAAAGTACACCCTCTTTAATCAAAATCATTTTATCATACTACCTCAGATGAACAACACAACATATTACAGAATGTCATTCTTTTGCAAAACCTTGGCCAAAATGGAGAAGCCATGGGTGACAAACTAAGTCTTATTGCTTGCATAGGGATTAAGTGGATAAGTAGCAGTCAGGCGCTGCAAATCAAATGCTCTTGATTACTTGATCATCTGTTGTGACCAACTCTATAAAAGCAGAAGTTTTGGTAGTTTGCTAGTGTGGAGCATTGCCAAGGAACAAAGACATCAGCAATGATTTTAGAGAAGTAATTGTTGCTGCCAATCAATCTAGGAAGGGTTACAAGGCCATTTCCAAACAATTTGAAGACCATTATTCTACAGTGAGGAAGATTATTCACAAGTGGAAAACATTCAAGACAGTTGCCAATCTTCCCAGGAGTAGACATACAAGCAAATTTACCCCACGGTCAGAGTGTGCAATGCTCAGAGAAATCCCAAAACACCCGAGAGCTACACCTCAAACTATACAGGGCTCAGTTAACATGTTGAATGTTAAAGTTCATGGCAGTACAATAAGAAAAAGACGGTACAAGTATGGCATGTTTGGAAGGATTGCCAGGACAAAGCTTCTTCTCTCTAAAAAGAAAATGGGGGCACTGCTTAGGTTTGCTAAGTTGCATCTGAACAAACCACAAGACTTCTGGAACAATGTCGTTTGGACAGACGAGACCAAAGTGGAGATGTTTGGCCATAATAAACAGAAAACCAAACACAGCATGTCAGCACAAACACCTCGTACCAACTGTCCATCACATTGGTGGAGGTTTGATGATTTGGGCTTGTTTTGCAGTCACAGAACCTGAACACCTTCATTCATTGAGTTGACCATGAACTCCTCTGGATACTAAAGTATTCTTAAGTCAAATGTGAGGCAGACTAACCGACAGCTAAAGCTTGGATGATATTGGGTCATGCAACAGGATAATGATCCCAAGCACACCAGCAAATCTACAACAGAATGGCTGAAAAAGTAAAGAATCAAGGTGAAATGCTGAGCTGGGACCTTCAGAGAGCTGTGCATAAACAAATGACCACAAATATCAATGAACTGAAGCAATGCTGTAAAGAAGAGTGGGCCAGAATTCCTCCAGAACAATGTGAGAGACTGATAGTCATACTGAAAACAATTACTTTAAGTTATTGCTGCTAAAGGTGGTTCCCTTTCAGTCAGTCACGTTCAACATTACGTTGACGTCACTGACGTAATTGGGATAACTTCAGGTAGCCCTATCATCTTCGAGTGTATACAGAACGAACCAATGCACATTGGCATGCAAGATTTGCATCTCACGCCCTGCCCGGCAGCGTGAGTATAAATACGGAAGCGAATGCACGCACCTTAGTCTTCGGAGCCTTGCTTCCTGTTCTCTCTGAGTGTTCTGCAGACAACCCAGAAAAAAAAGAAAAAAAAACGAGCCTCTTGGAAGATTCTTTTTTCTTCAGTGTTGGCGTGATGGCACGATCAGTGGTGGGCGCAAGCTATAAGCTCTAAATCTGCTGTTATAACAGCAACATACAACAGTGTGTTGGCAAAGGGCCGTTTCCCCTTTAAAAAAGTGCACAGCAGGCTGGACTGCTTCCCTGCTGTTGCACCAGGGCCATTCCTGGGTATCTCAACATTAAAAAAAGAGTATATTTCCCTAAAAGAGCTCCACGGGTGAAACGCTGCGTCCTTTTCAGGATATCATTCCGCCTGTGCGTTCCCTGGCGCCAGCTGACAGCCACAATAGCTGCCTCTCGTGTTTGGGCATTCAACACGCTGAGGCTGCTTTTGTGAATAGTTGGGAACATGACTATTGCGGTGTTAAGGTCGAGACTTGCTTAAGTCAAGGGAGGTGCAGTCCCCTCGCCTATGCCTCGATCTAGTGCCTATTCTGGTCCCCAGAATAGGGCTACTTCGGTGCTTAGCCAGGTCGACCTGAGGATAACCGTAAAGGCTTCCCAGCCGAGTAAAACTCTGTGGGCCCCGCACGCCTCTGCAACACCGCAAGCCATGGAGCTTCCGTTGGAGCTCGTTGGTCCTTCTCATGGACAACCAGCCATTTCCTTCGGGGCTCCTGCTGACAATCAGATGTCAATCGCAGCATCAGAGGGGGAGCTTCAGTCTTCTGGGAATGAAGGTCTTGCTAGTTGCGCCTTACTGGCCCAACCGGACCTGATTCCCAGAACTGATGCTCCTCGCGACAGCCCCTCTTTGGCCCATTTCTCTTAGGAAGACTTTCTTAGAGACGGGGTACCCTATGCCACCAACATCCAGACCTCTGGAAACTCCATATCTGTTCCCTGGACGGATGTGGAGGTTCTAGGTGACCTACCCCAGGCGGTGGTAGACACTTCCACTAGAGCCTGAAGTGGAACCTGTTCATTGAGTGGTGTTCTTCTCACCAGGAGATCCCCAGAACTTTTCGATCAGATCAGTGCTTTCCTTCCTGCAAGATGGGTTGAACGAAGGCTGTCTCCTTCCACCCTCAAAGTGTATGCTGCCGCAATCACTATTGAGGGTATGTCGCTGGGAAAGCATGACCTGATCATCAGCGAGAAGACTAAATCCTCCTTGCCCTCACTCGATCCCCTCTTGGGACTTCTCTCTGGTGTTTACGGCACTGCAGAGAGTGCCCTTCGAGCCTTTGCAGTCAGCAGAATTCAAAATTCTGTCTTGGAGAACATAACTCATGGTTGCATTGACCTCTATCAAGAGGGTAGGGGACCTGCACGCATTTTCGGTCGACAAATCATGCCTAGAATTCAGGCTGGCCTAATCTCACGTTATTCTGAGACCTGCCTGGATATGTGCCCAAGGTTACAAGGTTACCTTTCAGGACCAGGTGGTGAACCTGCACGGTACGGCTCCCTACGGTGAGCCCGTGTCTTTCCCTTGGCAGAGTCCGCTCTGCCGTCACTGTCCGCTGTTGTCTCCCCCCTATATAGGCTGGAGCCACCCCAGTGACACTTGATATATTGTACTGCCCTGTCGGCCAGTCCATATGTGTAACTCCCACATTATACCTCCCTACTGGCAGGATGTGGGCTCCGCAGCGTTCCTCTCCTCTGGAAGGGCACGCTTCCCCAGTGTTATCCAAGAGTCTCCCTGAAGTGATCCCAATTACGCCGATGACGTCGATGTAACATCTCCGTTCCCTCCTTCAGGGAACGAGGGTTACATGCCGTACCGAGACGTTTTAGAAGCTACGGAGTCCTGGGGTGTACTTGGTTTTATTACACATGCCTTCTCCATTTAAAAAATAATAATAATGTCATGTGTTGTTCATCTGAGGTTTCATTTACTTAATTTTAAGATCTGCTAAAGACCAGATGATATTTTATGTCCTGATGCATAAAACCATAGAATTCAAATAGGGTGTACTTTCTTTTTCACATGACTGTTTGTATCATTCCGGTGAGCATTTTATTGGACTATGACCATGAGCAGAGGATAAGAAAGTCCTTTTGCCCTTAATTATAAACAACTACATTTCCTCATCTAAAGCCACAACACAAGCAAATGTTTTGACAGCTGCCACTGGATCTTAAATGAAGGTGAAGCTGGTGGTTAGAAGTCCATCCACAGTACGATCAGTCATGATTTTGGCCAAACCAACATCCTGTTTCAATAGGACCTATTTAAGAAAGAACGTTGTTGTGCCCATCAAACCATTTCATGGGGTCTTTAAAGTAGGACATTTTAGTCAAGCAAAAGTGTTGGACCTTATTCAGGGTCCAGGCTTGAAGGTTGTCTGCACATAATGCCTTTTTTAGCTCATGAGCCATTCAAACATGTCACCCACCGACACCTCATGAGATCACAGATGAAGCCTCCCTGCACCTGATTCTGTATCTGTTCACTGATTGGTCGCTATGTTTTCTTGTGCAGCAGCTTGTCCAATGGGCTGTGCCGTGTGCTTTTCTCCGCCCCCTAACGTCTCTGTCTTTGCTGTTTTGCTCTTGTAGGGTCCACTCTGAAACGACTATGTCTAGGGAAAGAGCGCAACAGTAGTAAATATCCTTACTTCTACGCCCCTAGTCCCTCTTTCTTTCTTTCTTTCTTTCTTTCTTTCTTTCTTTCTTTCTTTCTTTCTTTCTTTCTTTCTTTCTTTCTTTCTTTCTTTTTTTTCTATTTTTCACTTGTCATTTCTTTTGTTGGCATGAGCGATTGCCTGTGTGATTAGTGCTTGCCATTTGCGACAGCAGATTGTGAAATGTGCACTGATTCTTTATATTCATTTGAATTGTCTTTTCTTTCTAGTGCATGGTTGATGCAGTCAAGTGCTTATTGAAACCTTTATGATTTCTGTATTCCTGGTAATTTAAGTGCATTTGTGTATTGCTTTGTTCTTTGTTTGGTTCTGTAATCATCCAGCTGCGTGATTTTAGTCTAGAATCAAGTGCACAACAAGAAACACACAAACGCAGATACAATCAGATCCACCAACACATTTCAAGTATACTCAGTGTCTGTTCTCTCATTGGGAACAAACCCCAGTAAGCAAGGGGCTGATTGATGTCTGTGACTCTTAAATCATGTTTTATTCAAAAGTCCGACCTCAAACTTTTGAATGGTTAATTAAAATTGTATTCATAAAAAAAATGGTATTGATTCAAGTCATTATCAAAAAGCAAATATTTACACCTCTAGTAATGCATAACGATTAACCATGATATTAGCCACACTTCACTGCGTAACGTGACAAATCTCATTATCTGTCAGTGAGCAGCGGATTGGTTACAGAGGACTTCAGGGTGAGTTATCTGAGCTTGAAGTCTTTCTCTGTCTCTTTCTCAGGGTCTCATAACGCTGGTGCTTCATCATCATCATCCGCAGCCGTGCCGTCTTCATCGCCTCGGCCAATCACGGCGCTCGTCCAGGCTCAAGCCAACAACAGCAACAACAAGACTGGCACATTCACTGATGACTTACACAAGCTGGTTGATGATTGGGCGAAAGAGACTCTTGCCTCCACCCCTCAGCTCCGCCCCTCTGTGTGTCAGATCAGACCGCAGAGATCTCATCACTCCTTCCAGACCAGCCACAGTGCAATGGCCAGAGTCCCCAATCAGGTACTATATGAGGTTTGTCATCCAGAATCTTAATGAGGATGTTTTTTTTCTTCATCTTCATCTTTCTCTAGTGAGTAATGTTGCTGTTTGACCCTGCTCTTCTCTATATCAGTGTCCGTGTTTCTAAAACTCCCTGAAACGCCTCCATTGTAGTCTTGAGTTTCTTCCGGGAATGAAAACGTCACAATATTCCTCATTTAAACAATTTATAAGCAAAATAAAGAGGCGGGGTCTGGTTGAGTTAGTTAGTAGTGTGTTGAAACTGGTGGTTATGGAAAGGAGCAGGACATTTCCCAAACACACTCGAAGCGCTCGACCAATCACAACACACTGCTCCAGCCGACCAATCAGAGCACAGTGTGCTTTTCAGAAGGAGGGGCTTCATAGAGACAGGAAGTAAACAGAGCGTTACTGACAGACTGGGAAGAGAGGAGCCGCAACAATGGAGAATATTAGGGAACTCTAAGGGAATTTTAAGGCCACCAAGTTACTTTTTTTTTAAGTTAAACCAACAAATAATTTTTTATAGTGAGTATATATTCTGTTCTATTAACCAGATGCATTATATTGAGACATACTATAAATGTGAACTAAGTAAAGGTAGAGGGGGCCACGGTCTTAAAATGTGGTCACATTTACCATTGCTCTGCAAAATTTCACGACCGATATCCAGTTATTTGGGAAAAAGCTTGCCACGTTGATACAGTTCATGTTCAAGCAAATTCGCCACGCTGATCAGGAGAAAGCTGCTTAGGGTTTCATTCATATCTACACTATTGACATGTGAAATTTTCTTGAAATCAAGTATTCAGTGCTGAGAATGGAACACGTACCAACATGGAAGTAACTTAAACTGCAATTCATCGACTGGCCACTAGAGACAGGCTGCAAAAGAGAGTCAATCCCATAGACGCCCATGTTAAAATGCCCAACTTTACAGCAGAAAAAAATATGTTTACAGCCTGGTGCAAAAAGTGGTTTTGGTCTATATAGCTAATTTTACGCTTCATGACAACTGTGAGGGGTGTGAATTTTTTTAACTCATAAACTCATCCGTTTAAATTATATTAAGTCTTAAAGTTCTGCATAATTAAGGGCGTGGCCACTTGAGTGACAGGTGGATTGCCGCTGATGTCACTACTAGCGTTTGTCTGCTGTCTGTTAGCGTCACGACACCTCAGCTAATCCGCCTCTGGCCATTTTTGTTAATCCGGGAGTGACGCGCTGCCAAGATGGCGGCGTCCGGCTCCGCCCACTTTGGGGTTCAAAATTGCTTTCAGAAACCAACGAGTGACGTCACAGACACTAAGGCCAGTATTTTTTTACAGTCTATTGTTCTGATGAGTCACGGGTTCTTTTGGACAGTTCGTTTCAATGAACCAGTTCAAAAACGTAAAACATTACGTAATCACGCAATGACATTAATAATTCTCTGATTAAAGCACCCAATAATGAATTTCTAAAGCTAAAACTTCTAAAGCATATAAAGTGAATAAACATAAACCATGAGAAACCATAAAGCAGTGTTATTTTATCTCATCTCTCTCTTCTCTTCTAGATGAGAGGCTCAATCCCTGCGGCGGCTGTGAAGCTCCATCTACCCCTGTCCTGCCCGCTGTCAGCAGCTCTGGGTCCCATCATGCCTCACGGCATCACCAGCGGCCCGTCGCCCGTCATCCAGCGGGGCGGATACCTGATGCCCACCGCCCCCTTCGCTGGGATGATGCCAGCCCCTGTGTATCCACACCAGTGGTCCGGTTTGCCCAGTCCAGTGGGAATGTTTGGAACGGCAGGGATGGTCCCGTATCCGACCATGGCCAGCCCGGCACTGCAGACGTTTCCTCTGGTGGTCAAAAGCCCAGACGCCCCAATGTGCCCCAGCAAAGCCAGGACTGCATGAGCGCTTCAAACTCTGTTCTGCGTAAGGGTAATCAATGCACACTTGCAGAGGGATAATCCCGCAGACTCAAACTGACTGGGAGTTCCTGCAACACGTTTTTAACTCGGCTTCAGGATCAAACCACAATCTCTCCTCCATGTCTGTGTGCTTTAGATCGCTGTTGGATGGTAGACGCGTCTGTACAAAGCCTTTGAGCCTGTAAATATGAGGTGTGTGTGTGTGTGTGTGGGCATGAGGAGTGTATTGATGTCTCAATCCAGTCCTGTGGGCGCCGCTTGCACGTTTGTTTGTTTTTAACTTTTAGCTCTTATGTTTGAATATGAATTGAGGAGTTGTTAGTGTTGAGGGTTTGGCTGAGATTAGGCCTTCAATTATAATTGAATTAAATAATCAATAATCATTTTGCTGATTGACTAAAACCTCGGGATGCATAAACGGCATATTGGGCCTTGAAACACGAGCAGAATAAATGTAGTCATTCTTATCTAAATCTTATGACGATTTGTGTAAGAATGGAAATTCTGCTCATGTTTTATGAAAGCATCCCAGAGCTGAACATCGATTATGGTCAGAAATATCAGTCCTGCTTTCCAATCATATGCGTTTCATTCATTTACAGCACTTTCATTGACCGTTTACAGAAATATCCAGCAATTTCAGACCACAGGACAAAATCCCTACTTTAAGAAACAATTCAGGATGATGTAGTGCCTTGATCGGTCATCAGTTTTCCCTCGAAAGATATTAATTGGTTTTAAAGGGCATTCCTCTTCTGTTCCTAATGCAATGGTGTTTTTTTTTTTTTGCATAATCTTTTTTCAATTTACGTCCCCTTTCAGTTGAAGCGAGTTTGCATTGAACAAACCTAATCCTTTGAAGTGTAGCTAGTAGCCAGTTTGATGAACGAATGCGGTTGATGTCTGGGTTTCTGATGGGTTACAATCATTCATAAGCAATACTGCACTAAGCACAGAGTCACAGACGCATTTGAGGAACGACTGGTTTACATTGCGATGATCTGATGATCGATGCATGCCATCAAAGCGTCGCAGACGCCCAAATACAGAATTAATAATTACTGTGTAAACGTGCTCTTATAAGTGCGCCGCCTTCCCTCTTTACAGCGTAACACAGGGACTGAATGCAGGTTTGACTCTGAATGTGTGTCAAAATGACATTGCATGTGATTCAACCTCCCTGTTATGTGCTGCATTATCCCAACCCATAATGTGAACATTGACAAACTACTTTACATTGGACTATCTTACCAAATGTAACATTTTTATTTGCTTTGCATAATGACTGAGTTTATTCCTTCTTGCACAGTGTTAATGATGTTGAGTTTTAATTTCTTTTAAGAGGGCAGTGCAATTGCTAGTCATGACTAATATATATTGTTGTTTTTCATAAAAGCGATCCAGCATGAGAAAGTGCAAGCGTTTGAATACTAGCTCACAGGTGTACAACACGTATTTGCATCCAAAATCCAAATCCCAACATAAACTCTGGTTTTATTTGTATGTTTGTATGATTCAATCTTTAGTCAGGGTTATATTTCTATTATAACTGCCAAACTGTGAATTGTACAGTCCTCTAGTATTTATTTCCTCAGTGCTTTGTTTTGCTGCAGCTTCTGTCCTGTAATGTTTTTTCTTGCATTTGTATTGGATGCTCATCAATGATCTGCAGTTAGAAACGTTTCCGGGAGGTTTCTGATATTCTGTTCTTGCTGTTATTAATGCTGATAATATATCTGGCTATAATTACTCCACTTTGCCATGTTTGTGTCTCACTGATCTGATGGTTATGGACTTTTCCCGGTCTTTTCTCTGTGAATGATTGCTTCACCCTTCTCCGCATTACTTTGCTCCGCTCAGATCCCAATGCACTCACAACACAGACTGTGTACAAGTTTAATTAAGAATAAATAAATATTTTGTGCTTAATAGCTACTGTGTTCTTGTGGTTTTTCACAGGCGTAAACAGAGATTTTCTGAGCTGTGCTCTTGAGGTTCAGGTACACTGTAAAAAAAAAACCATGTAAATAAAAAATAACTAGTTATGCTATGTTATTAACAAGTTATGAGGTTTCTCAAAAATACGGGGTTGTTTTACCGTATTTAATATGTGCATATTTATACCATAGGTATAGGTGCGCATAGGTGAATAATTCCCTCTGACTATTCTCGACGACCACACTCCTGTCCGGTAGGTGGCGGTAAATGCACCTTAAGTTGGTTTGCCAACCGCCAGTTAAACTCTAAAAGAAGAAGAAGAAGAACACACCAGTGCGAAGTCTTGATTTGCCCTGGCTTTCACTACTGAGCGTTTATTCCCGTGGATTGATTATTACCTTGACCTTGGCCTGTGTATCCCGTTTCTGATTGTTCTCTGCCTGCCCCGACTTGGATTGTTTACTGCACCTTGCTTCTCGCCGCCTGCCCCGACCACCGCCTGTTATCTGGTTTGTCTCCAGAGGTGTCAAGTAACGAAGTACAAATACTTTGTTACCTTACTTAAGTAGAAATTTTGGGTATCTATACTTTACTGGAGTATTTATTTTTCAGATGACTTTTTACTTCTACTCCTTACATTTTCATGCAATTATCTGTACTTTCTACTCCTTACATTTTAAAAATAGCCTCTTTACTCCTATTTCATTTCGGCTTGTTTTCATTCCTGCTTGTCATCATTCAAAAAAAAAAAAACCTATCCAGATAAATCGTGCCATCTGGATAGAGTTTTGATTGTGGTTGGATGAGAAGTATAAACATACCATTCCGACACCCTATTGGTTTTTACGCTGTCCATCACAGCTCTGCAATATTGTTGCCATTAGCAAGGCTCTCAAGTGTCACGCATTGAGCGTGACAGTCACTCATTTCGGTCTTTTGTATTTCTCTCGTGGAAAAATTGTTTATAATATATTTAATATGTCGCAGCGCGCAAAATGTCTCTGGCCGCGCCGCTCTCACTATGGAGGCGGCAGGAATCAAGCGCGTCTCCCCTGGAGTTCTTAGTCGAGCTTGCCACTTATCAGCCAATCAAAAAAGAAAAAAAAAGGGGCTAGACAATAGCCAATCAGAAAATACCACTATTGTATCTGGGTAAGATTTAACGCAACAACCAAAGAAAAAACTTCAAAACTTGAGAGAATGCTATATAATTGAGCATAGTACATACCAGGATGGTATCAATCAGGATTATGAGTTATTTTGATTTTTTGATTAATCACTTGGATTAATTTTAACAGCACTAATATTTAGTGTAGCCTGTATAGACATCCATATAAGGGTATTTGTTACTAAGCCTGCCCTGGGTACACCAATTTTCTTGACCGTTGCCCTCACAGATTCGCAGCTAAGCCTATGTACATGTATATTCCAATAAAGGTTATTGATAACATGCCTCTAAAGTTTGACTTACTGCACCATTACAATACTTATAGGCAACTAGTCATCATATCTTCCGCTCCATAAAACACGTGTTAATACTAAAATGCATTAATTTTCAATGGGCATTTATGCGGCTGAAACAAGTAGCCTAATGCATCCCAAATTTTTCAACATTAACATTTTAATATAACCTTATTTTAATATATATATAACATTATGGCCTTTAGAAAAATGTTTTTTTGAGGAGGTGGTAGTGCACTAGGCCCCTGTGGTGCGGCCTTGGGTTTTGTCCTTAATGGCATTTTTTTCCTTACATTACTTTTACTTTTATACTTTAACCAGAAAACCATGTTCAGGAAGGGTTTGACCACCGAACTACAGTCTGAACTAGCCTGTCGAGATGAGGGTAGGAGCCTTAACGGATACATCGACATGGCCATTTCAGTGGATAATCTCATCCGCTTCCGGCACCCAGTTCGAGCCTTAATGGATACATCGACATGGCCATTTCAGTGGATAATCTCATCCGCTCCCGGCACCCAGTTCGAGCAGCGCCTCGCTACTTCCAGTGGTCGACCCATCGGAGAGGGCAAAATTCAGCGCATCACAGAGACAGTCAAAATGCACATTGGTTCTTGCACTCATTTTACTTCATCCATGCACCTTACCAGTCCATTATCCTTGGACTCCCCTGGCTACGCACCCATAACCCCCACATCTCCTGGCGAGAGGGTCAAATCATTCAATGGGATACCACCTGTCAAGACCACTGCCTGTCCAGAGTTTTTCGGATTCCCAGATCCGTTCCAGATACCCCCGCACTAGAAATCTCCCGGGTAAAGACCTCGACATCAGTTCCTGAAGTAGCAAGCTTACCACCTGAGTATGCAGACCTCAGCTTGGCCTTCAGCAAGGAAAAAGCTTCTCAACTCCCTGAACATCGCCCAATCGACTGCGCCATAGATCTCATTCCCGGCACCACACCACCGAAGGGAAGGATATTCCCATGGTCTCAACCCGAAACTGAATCCATGGAACACTACATTGAGGAGGAACTAGCCAAAGGTTTCATCAGACCCTCAACTTCACCAGCTTCCGACGGCTTCCTTTTCGTTAAAAAGGATGGTGGTCTACGCCCATGTATCGATTACCGCGGCCTGAACGACAATACCATCAAGTTCCGGTATCCCTTACCCCTTGTTCCGTCCGCATTAGAACAGCTCCGCCAGGCCAAGTACTACACCAAGCTGGATCTCCGCAACGCCTACAACCTGATCCGCATCCGTGAGGGTGATGAGTGGAAAACTGCTTTTTCCACCACAAGTGGGCACTACAAATACTTGGTTATGCCGTTCGGCCTGGCTAACAGTCCATCCGTTTTCCAGTCCTTTATGAATGACATTTTTCGGGACATGCTGGATAGATGGGTTATCGTATACATTGATGACATCCTGATCTACTCCACCTCTTTGGAGGAACACATTCATCACGTCCGACTGGTCCTAAAACGTCTCATCCAGTGCCAACTCTACGCCAAAGCTGAGAAATGTGAGTTCCACCGCACCAGCACATCCTTCTTAGGATACATTATCAGTCAGGAGGGGATAGCCATGGACGAAAAGAAGGTCAAGGCAGTCTTGGATTGGCCACTACCACAGACGGTGAAAGAATTACAACACTTCCTAGGGTTTGCAAATTTCTACAGTTGATTCGTTAGAGAGTTCAGCACGGTTGCAGCTCCACTAACCACCATGACGAAATGCCACACGTCCCGTCTGAACTGGTCCACAGAATCCCGTCAAGCCTTCAACAAACTCAAAGCTCTCTTCACATCAGCTCCCATCCTATGACACCCAGATCCTGAATGCCAATTCATCGTAGAAATCGATGCCTCCAACACAGGAGTAGGTGCTATACTATCCCCACGCCAAGGTAATCCAGCAAAAATGTACCCATGTGCTTTCTTCTCCCGAAAGTTGACCCCCGCTGAACGTAATTACGAGGTGGGCAATTGCAAAATACTGGCCATTAAGCTAGCTCTCGAGGAGTGGCGACGCTGGAGGGAGCAACACAACCCTTCATCGTACTCACTGACCACAAGAACCTCGAGTACCTTCGGTCAGCCAAACGCCTAAACCTACGCCAAGCTAGATGGGCTTTATTCTTTACCAGATTCCAATTCACAGTAACCTATCGAACACCAAAGAACACCAAAGCTGACGCTCTCTCTCGTCAGGCCGAAGAAACCACTCCAGCACACACTACCGACACTATCATTCCAAGAACCCTGCTGGTGGCTCCTGTACAATGGGACATAATCACTGAGATCGAGCACTCCAATCTACAAGTGACACCACCCTCCGACTGCCCTGCTAACCTCTTGTTCGTTCCAGAGCCCCTACGCCCACGATTCCTCTAACAAGTTCACTCAATGCCAAGTTCAGGTCACCCCGGCATCACCGCCACCAATCACTTACTCCGAAACCGCTTCTGGTGGCCTACTCTGCTCAATGACACCACTAAGTATTTCCAGAACTGTACCAACTGCAACACCACCAAATCTCTCAGACGACTGCCCGCTGGTCTCCTGCATCCGTTGCCTACACCCCTCCGACCCTGGTCTCACATCGCCATCGACTTCATCACCGACTTACCCAATCTACAAGGACATACTACCATACTCACCATCGTTGATAGTTTCTCCAAGGCATGCCGTTTAACTCCTCTACCAAAACTCCCCACAGCACTCAAGACTGCTGAACTCCTTTGTAACCATGTATTCCGGTTTTATGGTCTACCCGATGACATAGTATCCGACCGAGGCCCTCAATTCACCTCCAGAGTATGGACTTCCTCCTTCAAGCATCTCAACGTTAATGTCAGTCTCACTTCCGGTTATCACCCCCAATCAGACGGAACCTCCAAACCAGGACGTCATCCGATTCCTCCGTTCCTACTGCCAACAACAACAGACAGAGTGGAACTGGTACCTATTCTGGGCCGAGTATGCCCAGAATTCTCCGGTCAAATCCGCTACCGGCACCACCCCCTTCAAATGTATTTTGGGCTTCCAACCTCCTCTGTTCCCGTGGTCAGGCGAACTCACAGATCTTCCATCTGTCACTGAATGGCTACAAAAGAGCGAAGAAGTTTGGGATCAAGCTCACACTCCTCTTCTTCATGCTGTCCGACGACAAGAACAACAGGGCAACCGTCACCGCCGCCCTGCTCCTGAATACCACCCTGGCCAATGGGTCTGGTTATCCACCAAAGACCTCAGACTCTGACTTCCATGCCGCAAACTCAGTCACAGGTATGTTGGTCCGTTCCAAATTTCTAGACAGATTACTCCTGTATCGTTTCGATTAGACCTACACGCTAATTACCGCATTTCCCCCACCTTTCATGTTTCCCTTCTGAAACCTGCTGATGGTCCGAGAGGAGAGCCGGAGGAGGGAGCCTCGCCGCAGACTCCCCCATCTATCCTGGTTGATGGCGAGGAGGCGTATCGTGTGCACGAGTTGCTCGACTCAAGACGTCGGGGCAACACGCTTCAGTATCTGGTTGATTGGGAGGGGTTCGGTCCGGAGGAGCGATCCTGGGTCAACTCTGGAGATATCCTAGTGAATAACCTCACGGAAGACCCCGACGTCGTCAGGCTTTACAGCATCTCTAGAATAAAGTTATTGTCCAGCTAAAGTTAGTTTTGATTGATTCACTTCCGTTGTATAGATCATTAGTTATTCACTTATTAACAGAAAACTCTTAATGCGCTCCGACCACTCACTCGCACAACAACAGTGTCTGGTGGCTCGAGAACACAAACCTTGAAATAGGTTCCAAGGTGCAAGCGTTGACATTTTTGAATTGTAAAATAAATAAATTGAAACAAATAACATTTGATTTAAATAAAATGAATACATCTAACAGTACAGTAATATAGTGAGTAGAAAAGAATGCAATGTAGCATCTGTGTATAAATAAACAGTGATGTGACATTGTATATTGATTTTATATTTAAGAAATGTCTTTATGCTAATAAAGTCAGTATATTTTTCATAATTAGCAAGAAATACTACATAAGTATTAATAAATGTGCAGACGAGTGATCCCTGAGAAACAAACTTTTGTCACATTTCTGTTTCTCCTGTTTATTCAGGACTTTTAATCTGTTGATCTGTTTGTTTCTCCAAACACTGACAATCAGCATAAACAGATGAGTGTTTATCACTGAAACTTCAGAAGAAATCATTTTGAGAAGGACTGGATCATGACAGACCCTGGAGAAACTCTGTGACGAATAAAGAAGAGCAATAAATGAAACATGTATTTTTAATATTTTAGTATTTTCATTGTTCTTTTGTGCTTTATCTTAACGTTTCAATGCAAGTTCATTTTACATGAAGAAATCCTGATGTTGTTGTTTGACTTGTTTCAACACACCAACTTGATCAGAAGCTCCTCCCTCTTACAACACTAACCAGGAAGAGACGGACTTGTTATTTCTCTTTTCTGCCATACTGACTTTGTCTCGACAAAAGCAATAAAGAATCAGCGATCAGTGGAGTACGAAGGGAAAAACTTTACAGAAGAATTTGAGAAGTTTCTTTCTCTGAACAAGTCTGATTCTGATCTTTGTGATTCTCATGGTGATTCATTTTTAAAACCGTCGCTCAGAAAGTGAAAGTAAAGTTTAGATTGCTGGAGTTCAAACAGTGAAAATGGATTCACTAAATGTTTCTGCAGAAGAACTTTCTTGTCCTGTGTGCTGTGAAATCTACAAGGCTCCAGTTCTTTTATCCTGTAGTCACAGTTTCTGTAAAGAGTGTCTTCAACAGTACTGGAGAACCAAGACATATCAGGAGTGTCCTGTCTGCAGGAGAATCTCAACATCTGATCCTCCAGTTAATCTTGCGTTAAGAAACTTGTGTGAGTCGTTCCTGAAGGAGAGAAATGAGAGGCGTTCATCAGGGTCTGAGGAGATCTGCAGTTTACACAGTGAGAAACTCAAACTCTTCTGTCTGGAGGACAAACAGCCTGTGTGTATCGTGTGCAGAGATTCAAAACAACATGACAATCATAAATTCAGACCCATCAGTGAAGTGGTTTCATCATATAAGGTAAGACAAATGTTTCTTGATTCACATGTAGAGAAACATAACGAGTCATAAACGCAGATCGTTCTGGTTACTAACGTGACCTTCGTTCCCTGAGATAACGAGTATTGCATCAGTAACTGACGCTTATGGGGAAAACTCAGTTTCCAAAATCCAGGCCCGCATTTGTGCCGTGCCGAAGACGACCTCCAGGAACAAGATGCGTTGGCTCGGGTGCAGTGAGCTTTTGCTTAGATTGAATCTGACCCTCAGACTTTACAAGTGGCTGAAGAGAAATTATGCTTGCAATTGGGTAATGAAGAGGAGGAATGCTCTTTTTGTGAAGGTGTGTGTTTTTTATTTGAAGTGGCGCATCGTCTGTGACGCCTTCTGGGCCGCTGTAAAACGCTCAGCGAAGCCGTCCACTGCAGACCCGAGGGAGAGACGGGGAGTCAAGGAGGGCTGTCTTGTCGGCGTCCTTAATCTCCTTCAGGTTCAGCCAAAGGTGGCGCTGAGGAACACCAAACTGGCCATGGCACGACCAATCGCTTGGGCCGTAGACTTAGTGGCACGCAGGGCGAGGTCGGTCGCGGTGCACAGCTCTCTGAAGGCCGCCGGGTCAAGACCAGTTTCATCCACAGTGCAGAGAAGCTTGACCTGGTAGACTTGAAGAACCGCCATTGTATGAGGGGCAGATCCAGCTTGACCATTCGCTGCATACTCTCTCTGAACTCTCTTTCCGCGAGGGCAGATCTAGTTCTGCATGGCTTTGGGCCGAGAGCGGGCAGAGATGAGCGGCGATGGTCTCTCCTGTCAGCGCGACTTAAATATGCAGTCGGCCCGTCTGTTTTGCTGGGCTGAAAAGCCATTTGTCTGTACAGGTGCACAAACGTGAACCAATCAGGCTTTAGTATTCAGTGTTGATTTGATTGAACAGGGCTGCAGTGATCAGGACTGGTTGTGTTTAGACCAGCTGAACTACACAAATTTTCACGCCGTTCCTGGTGGTTTTGGATAGCTTTTTTTCTTTCAATAAATAACATAGTCATTTACAAACTGTACTTTGTGTTTACTCAGGTTGTGATTTCTGAATACATTTAGTATGAGATGTACACAAAAACAGAAGAAATCAGGATGGGGCAAATACTTTTTCACTGCATTATATGATCATATCACTGTATTGTCTTCTCTTCACTGTAATCTGGTGTTTTATGTATTTTTGTTCAATTATAGGAGGAGCTCAATACAGCACTGAAGTCCTTACAGGAGAAACTTAAACGCAATACAACAATGAAAGCAGAGTTTGAGAAAACAGTTCAACACATCAAGGTGAGGAAACAGAAACAAGAGTCATTTTCATTACAGCTGTTGGATCACTATATACAGTTATGATCTGATATAATGGATTCCAGTTTATTATTTCTGTAAATGACTAGCAGCGATCTGCTTTTGGATCTGCTTTATGTCAGGTATCCGAGTTTATCCTGGATATTAATGATGTAAAGTGTCGATTGAGATGATTGAAGTGAATGTGATGTGATTTCAGGCTCAAGCTGAGCACACAGAGCGTCAGATTAAACAGCAGTTTGAGAAGCTTCATCAGTTTCTCAGAGATGAAGAAGAAGCTACAGTCACTGCACTGAGGGAGGAAGAGGAGCAGAAGAAGCAGAGGATGAAGGAGAAGCTGGAGGAGATGAACACACACATCTCAGCTCTTTCACACACACTCAAAGACATGGAGGAGATGATGAAAGCCAATGACGTCTGCTTTCTGAAGGTCTGATTTCAGATCATTGGTTGATCATTGGTTGATTGATTGAGTTCTTGATGATAATGGTGTGTTTGTTCTGCAGGAGTTTCCAGTCTCAATGGAAAGGTGAGTGATCTGCTCCTGTCTCTGGTCTCTCTGGTTCTGATCCAAAGCCACTGCAGTTCTGACTCCTGAATGTTCTTCCAGAGTCCAGAGCTCACGGCCGGATCCACAGATGGCTTCTGGAGCTTTGATTCATGTGCCACGATACTTGGGCAACCTGCCGTTCAGAGTCTGGAAGAAGATGCAGGACATCGTCCAAAACAGTGAGTCTGAAGATCTGAGCTGGACATGATGGATGGGGGAGAGTTAAAGAGATAGACAGATAGATAGATAGATAGATAGATAGATAGATAGATAGATAGATAGATAGATAGATAGATAGATAGATAGATAGATAGATAGATAGATAGATAGATAGATAGATAGACATATAGATAGATAGATAGACAGATAGATAGATAGATAGATAGATAGATAGATAGATAGATAGATAGATAGACAGATAGATAGATAGATAGATAGATAGATAGATAGATAGATAGATAGATAGATAGATAGATAGATAGATAGATAGATAGATAGACATATAGATAGATAGATAGATAGATAGATAGATAGATAGATAGATAGATAGATAGATAGATAGAGATAGATAGATAGATAGATAGACATATAGATAGATACTGTAGATAGATAGATAGATAGATAGATAGATGGATAGATAGATAGATAGATAGATAGATAGACATATAGATAGATAGATAGATAGATAGATAGATAGATAGATAGATAGATAGATAGATAGATAGATAGATAGATACTGTAGATAGATAGATAGATAGATAGATAGATAGATAGATAGATAGATAGATAGATAGATAGATAGATAGATAGACAGACAGACAGACAGACAGATAGATAGATAGATAGATAGATAGATAGATAGATAGATAGATAGATAGATAGATAGACATATAGATAGATAGATAGACATATAGATAGATAGATAGATAGATAGATAGATAGATAGATAGATAGATAGATAGATAGATAGATAGATAGATAGATAGATAGATAGATACTGTAGATAGATAGATAGATAGATAGATAGATAGATAGATAGATAGATAGATAGATAGATAGATAGATAGATAGATAGATAGATAGATAGATAGATAGATAGATAGATAGATAGTCAAGTCAAGTCAAGTCAGATTTATTTATAAAGCACATTTAAAAACAACTTCCGCTGACCAAAGTGCTGTACATATGGATCAGTTAGTCAGAGTACAATCACAAAATAACAAAATACAATAGAACATTACGTACAAATAAAGTATAAAACATACAGTAGTGGAACGGCCAATGTAACCTGCCTATTCAATGTTAAAAGCTATGTAAAAAAGGTGTGTTTTTAGCCTGCTTTTAAATTGATCTACGGATTCTGCAGATCTAACAGAAAGTGGTAGGCTATTCCAGAGCCGTGGTCCTACCACTGAAAAGGCTCTGTCCCCTCGGGTGATGAGCCTAGTTTTAGGGACGGTCAAAAGGAGCTGGTCTGCTGACCTTAATGCTCTGGCAGGGGCATAAGGGTACAGCATATCCGAAAGATAAAGTGGCGCAGTATTAGTTAAACATTTAAAAACTATTAGTAAAATTTTAAACTGCACTCTAAAAGATACAGGGAGCCAGTGTAGTGAGGCCAGCACAGGGGTAATTTGGTCCCTTTTTCTTTTCCCTGTCAGAAACCGAGCAGCCGCATTCTGTACCCCTTGGAGGCGGCGGAGAGAGCGCCGTTCGAGTCCGCAGTACAGCGAATTACAGTAGTCCAGCCGCGATGTCACGAAAGCATGGACTGCTCTCTCTAGGTCTTTCTTGGGGAGATAGGGCTTGATTTTACTGAGTAGTCTTAAATGATAAAAGCTGCTTTTTACCACTGCACTGACCTGTTTGTCGAATTTAAAACCACAGTCAAGAATCACTCCTACATTTTTTGTGCTTGGGCGAGAGAATGAAACTAATGGGCCGATGGCACTGTCCCAGCCCTGCAGACAGTCTGTTTTCCCAAAGACTACAATTTCAGTTTTGTTTTTGTTAATACTTAAAAAATTTGAGTCCAACCATGATACCACCTCCTTAAGACAGTCTTGTAAAGTTTTAATTGCAGTAAAGTCATTAATGCTCAGTGGGAGGTAGGCTTGAATATCATCTGCAAAGCAGTGAAAACTCACATTGTGTTTCTTAAAAATGGCCCCAAGCGGAAGCATATACAGTGAAAATAAAGCAGGGCTTAAAATTGCTCCCTGAGGCAGGCCGAAATCTAGTGACATTGGTGAAGAAGAGTGGTCACCTAGCTGAACTGAGAAACTTCTGTTAGATAAAAACGATTTAAACCACTGAAGGGCAGTACCCTTAATGCCCGCGTAATGCTCTAGGCGAGATAAGAGTGTGGCATGGTCTACAGTGTCAAATGCGGCTGTTAAATCTAAAAGCACCAGAACAGTAGATTTGCCTACATCAGCGGCTAAAAACAAATAATTTAAAACTTTTTAGAGGGCTGTTTCTGTGCTATGCCGGGGTTTAAAGCCAGATTGGAATAATTCAGTGATTCCATTTTCATCAAGGTGGGACTGTAGTTGGTCATATACAACTTTCTCCACTATCTTAGACAGAAATGGGAGTTTAGAAATAGGTCTAAAATTTGATAACACTGTGGAATCAGCATGTTTGAAAGCAGCCGGGAAACAGCCGGACAGCAGTGAAGAATTAATAAAGTCCAAAATAAAAGGACCAAGTGTCAGAAATACTTCTTTAAAAAGGCGAGACGGGATAGTGTCAAGTGGACAGTTTGAAGGCCTCAGCTGCTGAACAACTTTAGTTAAAAAAGACAGAGACACCGTCTCAAAGTAATCAAACACAGCCGCACTTGTAAAGAGGATCTGAGGCTCAGACAGATAGGGAGTGAGAGAGGACCTAACCGCACACACCTTTTCATGGAAAAACAACAGAAATTTGTCACATAATTCAGTTGAAGATTCAACGTCAGCACAATCACAAGGGTTTAAAAGAGAGTTTAACATTTTAAAAAGGAGCTGTGGCTTATGGCTATTACTGGAAACAAGATTGGATAAAAACTGAGTTTTTGCAGCTTTAACAGCTTTCTGGTATTCCGCCAGACTGTTTCTTAATATTTCATAGGAAACTTGCAAACGGTCCTTTTTCCATTTCCTCTCTGCGCGTCTACATGCACGTCTATATGCGCGCGTGACTTCATTCAACCATGGCTCCGATGCTGGTTTAGACGTTTTACTTCCCAGTGGAGCTATTTCATCCAGCAAGTCCGAGCACATCGAGTTAAAAACACAGAGCCATTGATCAACATTTACATCATCTATGTTACTCATGTGAAACAATGAGCCATCAAAAGAACATAAAAAGCGCGAGGCAGTCTGGCTGTTTATCGTGCGCACCTGGCGCGCTGGGGCACACGGTTTATCCAAGGATCCAGGCAATGTGACAGAAAACAGTACTGCAAAGTGATCCGAGATCCCAGAATTGCAGACTTCCTGTATGTTTACACTTAATCCAAAGGACAACACAATATCCAATGTATGTCCCTTCTCGTGAGAGGCCCCAACCACACATTGAGTAAGATTAAAAGAGTCAGCCACATCTAGAAAATCCTTAGCCAACTGATTCGACTTACAGCACACATGGACATTCATATCCCCGGCTATTAAAAAATGGTCATAGCTAAGAGTTAGTTCTGTAGCAAATTCTGTAAAGTCCTCAATGAAAGTCTTATTAAATTGTGGGGGGCGATAGACTAAAGCACACAGAACTGGAACGTCGGCATTTAAAACAAATGTCTGTAATTCGAAGCTTGAAAATGAGTTTGTTTGTACTTGTCTACAATTAAAACTTGACTTGAAAACTGATGCCAGCCCTCCACCTCTGCCAGTGCTACGTGGGGAGTTTAAGAACGAACAATCCGGGGGTGTAAGCTCGGAGAACGGAGTGCACTCACCGACGTGCAGCCAAGTTTCACACAGAAGAAATATATCCAACTGGCGTGTTGTAAAGAAGTCGTTGAGAATGAACGTCTTGTTGGTGAGGGATCTAGCATTGAGGAGGCCAAAGTTGAGAGTCTGCTCCTGATGGCCCGGTGCAGAGCAGCGTTTCAACTCCCGGAGGCATCCTTGGTCCACACCGCGGCTGCGCCTGCGGCGCCTGAGCAACGGTGCCTCCAGCGGCAGGTGACGTGGCGCGGCGTCCAGTTTGCTGGGGTTTAGGAGCTGAATCCACCGCAGACCCGGTACTCTGTGAAGCGCCGAGTATCCATTTTCTCGGGCATGAGAGTTAATCCAGTTATCAGACCTCCACTGTGATCGAATTCTCACCAGTACTCCACCTCGCTTTCCGCGTCTTCGAGGCCGTTTCCTCTTCACTTTCACTGGCGTGCGCCACAGGTAGGTAGGCACAAGTGCCAGGTGAGGAGGGGAGTTGTGGTTTTTGTCTTCAAAATCGTGATTTAACAGTGATGAGCAAACTGATCTGATATTAAACAGTGCTTGGCGATCATACACGAATAAAGCAGGGGTTACTTGGCAGAAACCACAAAGCAAAACTGTTATTAGCATTAAAAAAAGGAGACGAGGCAGACGGCTGGCCACGCATCCTGGCGCCATCACACACTCCTCCAAGGTGAAAGTGTTGATAGACAGACAGATAGATAGATAGATAGATAGATAGACAGACAGACAGACAGACAGACAGACAGACAGACAGACAGACAGACAGACAGACAGATAGATAGATAGATAGATAGACAGATAGATAGATAGATAGACAGATAGACAGATAGACAGATAGATAGATAGACATATAGATAGATAGATAGATAGATAGATAGATAGATAGATAGATAGATAGATAGATAGATAGATAGATAGATAGATAGATAGATAGATAGATAGACAGATAGACAGATAGATAGATAGATACTGTAGATAGATAGATAGATAGATAGATAGATAGATAGATAGATAGATAGATAGATAGATAGATAGATAGATAGATAGATAGATAGATAGATAGATAGATAGATAGATAGATAGATAGATAGATAGATAGATAGATAGACAGACAGATAGATAGACAGATAGATAGACAGATAGATAGATAGATAGATAGATAGATAGATAGATAGATAGATAGATAGATAGATAGATAGATAGATAGATAGATTTATTTATTATTACAGGCTCAAGGCCCACAGAAGACAATGCTGAACACAGATCAAAACATCACACATTCATATATACTAGGGGTGCTCCGATCAGGATTTTTGGGGCCGATCACCGATCGCCGATTACTGGAAGCTGTATCACCCGATACCGATACCGATCACCGATTACAGGGTCTATTTGAAGACTTCTTTTTATCATGTAGCATTACTTATTAAACTATATTTAACAACAATGTAGCCTACATTAAGTATTACATTTAAGAGAAGACAATGCATAATGAATTGACACCTGTGTATTTATTTGCAAGCAACATGTATTAACATAGCAGCTTGGCTATTGGGAGCAGCTTAGGGCTTGACATACAACTTTCCTGTAGAATGTAAAATAAAATAAATAAAAGACAGAACATCTGAGTCTTTAAATTTAGCTTTAGACTACTTTAAACTAAAAACAGCAACAAAAAAGGCTATAGCCAAAATAATGTTTCGAGTCAGTCAGCCATCAGTTTTTCTAATACACTTAAAGGACCACCGGTAGTAAAGTGCACAGCAACAAAAAAAAAAAAAAAAAAAAACGAACAACTTCCATATCTGTATCTATAACTTTGCTTTTTTCTGGGATGCTTAGTCAGATTTTGTGGGCATTTAGAGAGGAAGAGAGAGGTAGAGAAACCTTTTTGTGTGTGTGTGTGTGTGAAGAACCCTTGCAAAATTATTTTAAACATATTAAGAAAGCCACCACTACTGGTCACTATGGTTAGATTGATTTTTTTTAGATCCAGTGAAGTCTGTCCCACCATGTACCTAATATAAATAAATAAAACATCTTCAGTTAACTAGCAGATCATTCATTTAGTTCGCTATTAAATAAGAAATCTAGCGCTAAAATGTGTTTTTGAACTCAAGCTGCGCGCTCGTTGCCGTGGCGATCAGTGTAGTCGGCTTAGCAGCTGTTACTTCAAAGGCTGCTTGCCAGTAGAATGATATAAACCAACCGCAACTCCTCTATGACATGCAGATTACAAGATATCCCTCTTTGAATTTGGGTTGCTAGGGTGCTCGACAATGGTTGCTAGGGCGTGGCTAGGAAGTGTTGAAGGTGATTTATGATTGGTTGTTTGCTGCCCTGATTCAAACACGCCCACCCTCATGTGACACTTCTATCCAAAAATATTCCTTATGATCTCTTTGAATGGAAGTCTATGGGATTAGTTGCTAGGGTGCTCTAAATGGTTGCTAGGGATTGGCTTGATAGCTTCACAATGATCCTGAGAGACTTGATTGGTCGTCTGAGTAAAATGAGCCCGCCCCCTTGTCTCTATGACACTGTGATCCAGAATTATGTTTAATACAAAATCCCTATGCAATTTACCATAGTAGGAGAACATGACTGCGCTTCATGGGCCGTCCTTCACCATAGTAAGTCAATGGGAATCTCCGGGCGCCTCTTCCCCCCAGGGGTGCAACTTTTACCCCATTGTGAGGCGAAGTTCATCCCAATGCAAAGTCTATGGGACTTTTTCGCCCAATTTTCAACATCGTACACCCGATCGCTTAAGATAAAGCGCACCATTCCTCAATAATCCGCATGATTGGCTGCCTCATCTTTGGGTCTATGACAAATGATGCGGGACGAGTTATGTGCCGAAGTTTTGTGTGGAAAAATAAAAATAAGTATAACGAACAACAGTAGTGATGCTTTGCCTTCACTAATAATAAATCATTTCTGAAGCCAACATAAGTCAAACACAACAGACTCAGAATAAACTAATTTAAAACAAAACACAGACTATAAGAGGCAATAAAATGAAGATGATCAGAAGCTGCTGAAGATCAGACACACACTTACAGTTCTTCATCGACAGCATTAATATCAACAGATCTCATTGATTTATTGTTATTTAACTTTCCCAAAGTATCAGTTTCTCTTGATGGACACAAATGTCTGAATCTCATATTTAATGTTTGTAGTTGATGCCGTTAAACGCTGATGATAAACGAGTGTGAAACTAATAACAGCACTGACAGTGATCAGAGGAAAATGAGTTTGATCAACAGGACGAGTGTCATAATTCATAATAATCTGTGTTGGGTTCACTGTTGATCATTATATGAAGATCAGAATAAAAGCATGTGTTGATTGTGTCTCATCAGCTCCTGTGATTCTGGATCCAAACACTGCAGATCCATATCTCGTCCTGTCTGATGATCTGACCAGTGTGAGATACAGCGAGAACTATCAAACTCTTCCTGATAATCCAGAGAGATTTGACTTGGATCCACGTCTCGTCCTGTCTGATGATCTGACCAGCGTGAGTCTCTGCGGGAACAATCAAACTCTTCCTGATAATCCAGAGAGATTTGACTATTATTCCTGTGTTCTGGGTTCAGAGGGTTTTAACTCAGGAACACACTGCTGGGATGTGGAGGTTACAGAGAGTGAATGCTGGACTCTTGGAGTAACTACAGCATCAAACCAGAGGAAGGGAGGAGGTTTCTTAAACTCTGATGTCTGGAGTGTGGAGTATTATCAGGACGGACTGTATTTTAGTTCTGGTTTTCGTGTTAAACAGAAGCTTGATCGTGTGAGAGTGAATCTGGACTATAATGGAGGAACGGTGTCGTTCTCTGATCCTGTAACTAACACACATCTACACACACTCACAACCACCTTCACTCACACACTCTTTCCATTCTTCTGGTGTTATTCTGGCTCTCTGAGGATCTTACCGGTCAATAGTCAGTAAACGTCACTCCTGTAGATCTGGATCTTCTGCTTTCATCATGTTTCCAATATTTCCTCCATCTCACATGAGTAAGAGTGCTGTTGATCTGAGTATCAGTACGGTGGCTGTGATTGGGCCGTGATGATCACATGACTGATATCCAGCACTACAGCAACACTCAGATCAATAAACATCAAGTTTTCATTTATATTCCACTTCACACAATTAGACCCATTAGAGGCCGTTTTAGCATTCATGTTTTCAGGATAACTGACATTTACCAGATTATTACAGTCAATGTGTGTTTATTCATTTCTAA